AGTGAGAGGACAGCAAACCTGAGTCACTGTGGGGGAGTGGATGGGCACAATGGCTGATGCTTAGTGTTTCACTGATTTTTCACTGAATGTCTGGTGAACAGTTGGGAAGATTCACCTGGGTGCTCATCCATATTCTGACCATGAGATGTGATTGGCAACCCCTGTGGCTGCTGCTTGAAGAGGGGAAAGGAATCTTGGAATTCAGCAGAGCCCAGGAACTAGAGCGAAGCGCAGGGCAGAGAAGTCATTGAGACCCTTGACCTTTTATTTGTCACTATGTCCCCCTACTTTGTTCTCTGTTGGATCCATGTTTCCCTTTTCCTCCTTTTCACTGCTAATGTGTCCACAGAATCCTTCCTTGAATCTTCTGATCATGAGAAATGAACCTGTGCGTTGGCGGCGGTGGATTTTGTTTTTCTTGTTATTGTCTCATCTACATCTGTTTTCCCTGGCATCTCAGTTAAAAAAGCTAATTTTGCTGAGTTGGAGCAGCTGCCACTTCCCACCATAGTAAATTAAGCTTTCAGAAGACCTCATCTTTGGAATTACAGTTCTGATCATAATGTGGATTTTAATAGTCAATTGAGATGCTTATTAAATTATAACACTGTGCATTAGGAACGTTCATGTGCTGCTGGAGAAATCTCAATCGTTTAGGTTTTATTAGTTTCGTGATTTAATGAACAGAAAACATTAAAACTAAAAGCCAAATGCAAACCAGCTGTATAAAAATGTTCTATAAAATTCAGGGAACTGACAGACATAGCTGTAAAAGTACTTTGCAAAGACACAGCCTCTCTTAAATGCCATCCATTTTAATAAAGTGATTAATGCCACCATCAGCTTTCTTAACAAAGAAAATTTCTCCCTTGTTTCTTCTCCCGTGTTCATGAGATTCAGCTGTACTTAGCATGGTAAGTGAGGCTTATCGATTGTTTGAAAATTACTCACTCTGGGCTGTTAAGATGCAAAGGGTGGTATTTTTCACGTGTCCACACACTTTTGTTCTTAGGGTGAGTGGCTACACCACAAGCAGCCACTCAGTGGCTGAGTTAGTGGCTGTCACTGTGGTCCCCAGAGCTGCAGCCCTGAGTGGTGCCAACAGTGCCTGAGATCAGTATTTTGCTGCGTTAAAGTTCGATCCTGGGCTGCATTAGCAGGAGGGTACAAACAAAGGGCAGTCACCTCAATCACCCACTGCTCACTGCCATTGTGGGTGAGGTGTCCTGAATCATTTTGGGGTGTGATATAACACAACAGGGTGGTCCAGTGACATGGGAGTTACTGGTGGTATTATCAAGATAACCAGAGAAGCTGTAAGTAAAAAGGAATAATTGTGTTCAATGCACAGAGAGATGAATTTTTTGAAGCTCCTTTTTAAAAATGCATACATTAGGAAGAAGGTTCTTCACTCAGAAGGTGGTCAGGCACTGGAACAGGCTCCCCACGGAAATGGTCACAGCACCAGGCCTGACTGAGTTCAAGGAGCCTTCGGACAACACTCTCAGGCACGTGGTGTGATTCTTGGGGTGTCCTGTGCAGAGCCAGGAGTTGGACTGATGGTCCTTGTGGGTCCCTTCCAGCTCAGGATATTCTATGATTATAAATATATTTATGCAGGGATGTATTATGTATGTATAAAAGCATCTTAGTTCTCAAACTCCTAAATCAGTACAGCCAAATCACTACTTCTTGTTCATTTTTTTCAGGTATGAAAGACACCTTTGCATAAGATGCTGTCAAACACCTGTGGAAGAAATACCCACATTGCAAACAGGTCCCTGCCAGAATAGGCATATGTAGTATTGTTCTGCTTCATCCTTTTGATGGGACTTTTACCTAAATTTTGAAACAGATGATGATTTATTGAGGTTCCTATTTCAGTTTGGATTGTAAAGGCAATTGCAGTGTATATCTGAGTTATACATAGGCTTTTCAGTGCAGTTATAATTAGGACTTCAGTAATAAAATTATTACTCTGAGTTTTCTTAGTTTTTTTTTTCTGTTCCCCCTCACTTGAGTTTGATTTGAGGGACTTTATTAACTTTCTGTTTACCTATGAGTAAGAGTTTTGCTACAGCTCAGGAATCAAAGGTCTGGTTTCCTTGGCAATGATGGACTGGGTGCTGTCACTGCTGTTGCAACTTGTCCCTTCACAGTGCCTGTACTCTTGGCTCTGTGACTACACAAAATCGTTTAGAGACCTTTTTTTTCTGGGTTCCTAACCTGGTTTGTCCCACTTCTATGAACAGCATATGTGGAACCACTGACCACGAGAGCCACAAAGAGGAATGCACCCTAGATCAGGCAAATGCCACAAATGGAGTATGTTAAACCTGCTCTGGTACCTCTTCACTTAAATCACTGGGAGTTTTGCCAGAGTTTTCAAGGGAACCAGCTTTTAGGGCACAGGTTATGTTCAGGAGCTCTTCCTATCCATACCTTGGCTTCTGTTTAACTGCGGCACTAACATGAAGCTTAGTGTGTTGACAGCTGACATTTTGATCCATCAACAAGTCACCTCGGATTCCAGCAAAACCTGTTGCAGAATGGGAGTTAAGCTTCCTAAAGGAGTTGTGAAGCAGAGTTTTGGTTCCCACCCTGTGATCATGAGACCGCTTGGATCTACAGGGGACTCATGACGGTGCCTCTCTGGAAGCAGGGCCTGGATTGCTCATGAGTGAGGGGCAGGTGTGAGATCTATTTTCAATGCCGGGTTAGCAAAATAATGCAAATTCTTGATGCAATTTCCTTCCAGTCCTCATAGCGCAATGCAGTTTATGACAGTGTTTTTGTTACTGGGTTTGCTGCCCTCAATTTACCATTCCTCTCTCTCTCCTGGCTTTCTTATCCAGATCCCCAACTTCTCCATCTCCTGGAAGAGTAGCTGGAAGAGCATCTTGCAAGGCTGGACCTGGAACAGGCAGCACACTGCCTTCCTCCCACCTTCACCCTCCTCAGAACTCTTAATGTCTGTCCCCACCTCTCTACTCCATCCTGGTCAGAGATGAATCTCCTTGGCCCCGGGACAGGGGAAAGATGAAGCACAGCAAACTCCAGTAGGAGACACCCCACCTTCCAGCAGCGTAGGGCTTGAAGAATGAGCTGACTGCCACAGCGGTGTTACAAACTGTGACACGAGGGGGCTGAAGTCCATTTTGCAGGAATGGTGAAGCTCCACAGTGCTGTGGGATCAGGGACACATAAAAAGACAATGAAAATAATCTTCTGAACTCTGCTGCAGGTCTTAGTGATGGGTCTGTTTTCAGCCCCTTAATATTCTCAAGTGTGTCAGTCTGAGGGAAATGATACAACTTTGTTGATGCACTCAGTGTTTATTAAGGCAGATGAGAGGTGTCCTAAGGTGTGCTTAGGACAGGGTATACTGAATATGTCACTTTTAAACATATCACAGCCTCAGAGGAATATCAAGTCTCTACAGCTGATTTTTTTTTTTGCCACCTCTATTTGCAGCTGCCATTTTTAATGCTTCTCCACTCTCTCCCTATGCCAGGTTTCCTCCCCCGGGCTTTTTTCCCCTCCTCTTCCACCTTCCCAGGTGCTGCACTGCAACACCTTTTTGCTCCTTCCCCTCTCTTTTCTTACTCAAAAGCCCCAAAAAGCAGCAAAGAAGGGTGGTCAGAAGGGTCACCCAGCACAACCCCCCGGGGCGGGGGAAGCAGAGCCTCCCTGAGCGCGGGTTTGATGCACCACGGGCATCGCAGATCCCCGCCAGTGCCACCGGGGCCACAAACGGCAGATGCACGGAGGGTCGAGGAAAGCCTCCTTAGGGACAGGAGATAAGGAATCGATCCATGCCGGCCTCAGAGAGCGGCACAGGGCTGACGAAACCCTTGCAGCTGGCAGAGAACGTGAAAACCATGGGAAGCGGGCGGACGTGCAATAGCAGGGGCCGGGCTCCCCCCAGTGCCCTCCCCGGCCTGCACAAGCCCTTCCCACCCCAGGCTCGGCCTTCCCCTGGCTCCCGGCGGGATGTGGGCTCTGAGCATGCACGGCCCTGCCCAGCGCATGCGGCCGGGGATCGGGATCGGGGTCGGGATCCCGCCCCGTCCCGCCCCGAGAGGTCGGGCGGGCAGGGAATGCTGCGGGCCCCATGGAGCAGCTCGGGAAGCGCTCGGCGGCCCGGCTGGACACCGTCCTGCGGCACCTCTGCCCGCGGCTGGGGGCGGCCCCCGCTCCCGTATCCTTTCTGGAGTGGGCTCGGGAAGGGTCCGTGGTTTGTCCTGCAGGGACACTGGCCTGGGAAGGACACCCAGGCCGAGTCCCTGCCCTGTGTCCTGGTTGTGGGGTGGAGACGTGCCGGGGGCCCTGCCCTGTGTGCTGCCCTTGCCCTGGCAGCCCCGGCTGGGATTTTGAGGACAGCACCCGTCCCACCCCAAAACCCTCCTGCTGCCTGTGCTTCCTCCCTGAGCTCCAGCCCTGCAGCCCGTCGGGATGTGCATCTGATAATCCGTGTCCTCTGGGCACCACCCAGTACAGCCCCCCAGTACCGAGCAGGGGCTTCCCTGCAGCGAATTCCCCTCATGGAGATTCGAGGGTTTGGGGGGAGATAAACCCTGTGTGACTTAGAAGTTGCACAGCAAGTCTCAGGCTTTGTTGAAAGCTGGTACAGACTTGACTGGTAGAGCATTAGCAGGAAAAAACATCAAGGTTTGTTTTGCCAGTGGGATCTGAGGTGGAAATGTTGGAGGCTGCCAGCTTTGTGACACATCAGACAAAGGGAACCAGGGCAGGGAAGAGATTTCGCGTTGGTCTGTCTCAGGGTTCCAAAAATTAAATAAAGACTGCTTGCTGAGAGTATTTTTAAAGTTGCTGCCATAAATCTTGCTTTTTAAAAAAAAAAAAAAAAAAAGCTGCTGTTTCACAGTGAGAGCTGAACACTGACAAGTTACCTTGAATTGTAATAAATAGGAGAAAAGGATGTGATCAAACAGGATGTAGGAGCCTTCAAATATATATTAAAAATATGAAGACAGATGCCATAACACAGAGATGCAAGCAGGAACACAAAATTAGAAATAAATGCTAGGAAAAACACCCTGATTGTAAAGAGAGAGGAAGTAAGAAGAGGTGATGCACAAGCTGTTTTTAAATCCAAGTCTTGATGCAAAGAGCTTTGGACAAAAATAGGACTAATCTGGGCTGGAGCAAGAAAGGTGTATGGATAAAGTAAGTGACAGAATGTATTAAGAATAGATTTATTTGATACATGGTACATCAGTTTTGTTTTAATCTCTGGCTTGGGTGATTTGGATGGGACAGTCGCTTTTCCTCACAGAAAATGCCTCTTCTTTGACAAAAGAAGTGTCTTGATAGCAATTCCAGTCACCGCCAGAGACACAAAACCTCCAAACCTCCCAAAGCCCGTGAGGTCTCTGTGCTGTCCTGCTGGGGGGCAGTGTGTGTGCCCACCCCTCTGTGCTGAGTGAGCACCTGAGGTTTGCTGCCTTCTGCCACCACAGCACAGGCTCTGACCTTCCCAGGATCATCATCTTCTCTGTTTACAATTAGGGCTGCAGAATAGAGAGTTTAACACCATCTTGTACACGCCCAGTTTCCTCCTGTAGTTGCTTTTAGGGTTTAGTATATTGGAGACTGGAGTGTTGGTTGTGTGGGTATGTTGGAAGATGGGTTGTTTCTGCATATCACTGGAAAAACTCTGCCTTCAGATGGCCTCAGAAAGGAGAGGAAGGTAAAATGTGGCAGATTTTTCTTTGGAGATTGGTGTAGGAGCCAGAGGGGAGTAATGCACCAGTAACACCAGCACTTACCTCCTTAAAGGAAAGCAACTGAGAAAAACCCACATTCCAAGTGCCTTTGGAAGACCACCATTCCTGCAGCTGTGAATTCAGCTTGAGTGCTGCCTGGTTGGGGACACCAGTGAAAAATCAGCACACCAGCTGTAGAAGTTGAAGGTTTCCTCAAAATGCAGGAAAATGGGAGATTCGAAAAGCAGCTGCACCTCTGGAGTGATTTGGGTGTTTGACTTCTGATGCTTCTGACAGAGCTGGGGCTGTCTGGCCAGGGCCATCTCACCAGGGGCCTCTGAGGGGGTTTCTGAGAAAACTGCACAGGTGTATTGTGCAGGATATACAGGAGTCTGCAGCACCCCTTGGGGCACTGCAGGGAGGTGCTTTGGAAAAGCTTCTGGGGACATTAAGCCTTGCTGTGCCTGTGCTTTAGTGTCTCCAAAAGTGTTTATTTGCTTCTGAGTGGCTCCAGGTTATTACATTGCCTGCACAGCTGGATAATGTGCCTGTGAATATGTTGTTCCCAAAAGGATTGTGTGAGGGGAAAAGGGGAAAGTTTAAATGTGCCTTTATGAAAATGAGCTGCTGGAGCTGGCAGCTCCTTCCCAGCTGTGCCTCTTGGTTTCAGTTGTCCAAGCAACCCAAACTTGTCCTCTGAGCATTGCAAGGTGTCAAGAGCAAAACCAGTGAGAGAAAGAGGCAGTGGAAAGCCTGGGAGGAAGGTGTCAAAGGGAGCCCAGCACTTGGTGGACTTGTCTGCTGCTCCCCCAGTTCTGGAAAGTGGAGGTGTTGAGGAGGCCACCACAGCTGGGGCTCAGCCAGTGTCTGTGTCTCCATCAGCTGTCTGTGGACATTTAGGAGCCCGAATGCTCAGGAGTCCCATTTTCACTGAAGTTGGCCCTGAAATGTGGTGTGTGGAGCACTAGTGCCCTCAGTTGGGGAATCCCTTGCTCTGGGACCTGCTGTGGTAGTTTCCACCTGGTCTCCCCGTGTCTTCTTCCTTCCCTCTCTCTTCCATCCAGTTCTCAGCACCTTTTCCTCCCTCTGGCTCATTTTTGCCACACATTTTTGCATGTGCATTGTTTCTTCTCCTACTGTATGTGACTCTTGACCAGATAATGTTTAAGCTTCCTGGTGTGGGGACCATAAACACAACTGTTGTGAGGAAACATATTTATTGTTCCTGAAGCATTTGTGGTTTTATGGCACATTTGTAAGGCAGTGGTGAGCAGTAGAGGAAAGTCAGTGATTTACATAAAAACCTGAAGCAGAGGTGCATGTGGAGACCAGGAAATCTGCACAAAAATGCTCTTTTTTGTCCTTACCCCTGGATGACAATTCATTACCATACACAAAGCTCTTGTGAGGCTTCTTTAGCCAGTAGCTTTTAATTGCCCTGTTGATGAGAATGTTTTTCTGCCTAGGAGAACACAGCTGTGTTTATTTCAACCTGTTGAAATTAATTGATGTGGAGGACAAGCCCATAACTCTCCTCTCTTCCTGCTATTCCTGTCAAGCTTGGGAGGGACCAGATCTCTGTAGTAACTGTAGAGAAGGTGAGGGTTTGCATCACCACATGAGAATGTGAAATCCCAGGTTCACTCCTAATGTTTTTTATTATTTTAATTTTTTTTTTAATTATAGATTTTCATTGTTATTATTTTAGAAGCAAAATAAACAAGAACATGAACCGAATGTCCAGGACAGTAACTTCCTTTAAGATGAACAGAATTTTAGGATCCAGGACTCATGTGCATAGATGATGTTCTGCACTATTTCATTTGATTATATATTCCTTAACTTCCATCCCAGATAAGCATTCCTACTTCTGCCCAAGTCAGTGTTGTTCCTCATTCAGGGGGGTTTTGGTAAGATCTGCTTTCCTTTGTAGATACAGAGATTTTCAGAACTCAGTTCTTTATCCCTACCCCACATGTCGATTAATAGACATTGCACAGCCTTTCACTTTGCAAGGATGTCTCCTTTGTTTAACTGTAGTTTAATGTGTTTCTCCTCTGTGTCTCAGCTACACCCTGGACAATGATCTCCTCACCACTCAGCAGAGGCAGTTCTATGAAGACAATGGGTATCTGCTCATCAAGAAGCTCGTTTCTGATGAAGACATCGAGCGCTTCAGGTACGGGGCACTTGCCAAGGAGTTGGGGGGCCTGTGTGCAGCAGCATCCCAAGGGAGCTCTGGGAAGATGGAGGCAGATGGATTCTCCCAACATGGACATTCCCTCTGCTTTGCAGGAGGGAGTTCATGAGGATCTGTAAAAGAGAGGTGAATCCACCAGGAGCTATGATTATGAAAGATGAGTCCCTGAGATCCCAGTTTGGTCAGTCTGAAAAAGTGGTTAATAAAGTGCAGGACTTCCAGGAAGATGAAGAACTGTTCAGATACTGCACTCTGCCAGAGGTAAAACAGAGTTAAAACCCATCAGAAAGGGGGTGGCGGTGGAAGAGCCTGTGTGAATGTATCTGTGCTTTAATGCTTATGTGAAAAAGCTTCCAGATGTTCTGTCTTGGTCTCCTCCCGCCATCCCTGTTTGTGTGCCATGCCAGATCCTGCCTCCTGTCCTTCATCCCAATCTCCTCCTCCTGTACCCTAGTCCTTAGCCAAGCATCCATCTCCCAGTGCTTCCTCAGCCACCTTTCCTCTTGGTTTTCATGTTTCTAATATTTTTTTTCCCTAATGTTTTCTTCCCTGTAGGTCCTCAAATATGTTGAGTGCTTCACAGGGCCAAACATCATGGCAATGCACACCATGCTGATAAATAAACTTCCAGATTCTGGTAAGGAAAACTTGGATAAGAGGAAAATAGATAAGTTATTGTGCATATGCTGTCTGTCTGGCCAAAATTGAACTTATTGTTTCAGAAAAGCTATTTGGAAAAAAAAAAAGGACAAATTAAAATGAAATAACTTTGAAAATTTACAAGGCTATTTTGGTAATAGCTTGTTACCTGGGCTTAATGAGATAACATGAGAAAACTCATGAAAGTTTTTGAGGCTGTGCAAAGTCTAAGTAATATGGCAAACTAGGCAGGCAGAAATACCCTAACTGCATCTATTTAAGGAGCAGAATTAATGACAAAGTAAGTGTATAAATCATATATAAAAGGCTCTTTTGGTGTGGATGATGTGTTTCCATTTCCATGAGGGAAAAGAAATAACAAACAAAGCTTCAAAAATATTTATTTTTGTTTAGACCTCATGAAAGAAAGCCCCCGGGGTGAGGGCTAATAGTGCTGGGTAGACTGCCTGGGGAGGCTGCAGTCCATAAATTGAGATTTTCTTCCTTTTTTAAAGAGAAGGCTAAATAAACATGTACTAGATGCAGCACAGGCAGGGTTGATTCTGCTTGCAACATCCAGTGCCTGCAGATGGCTGTTTGAAAGTCTTTGTACTGGGGAGGTTTGTGCAACATGGTGCTGGCTAAAGTTCACAAAAGTGGAGAGCGGCCAAAATGAGTGGTGAAAACACGGCGAGGGGTTGGTGGTGGTGAAGGCCAGCAAAAGGAGCCATCTGAGGGGTCACAGCCAAACAGTCTCAATGTGTCCCTGTGCCATTGCTGACTCAAGAGCTGCCACTGTGGTCCATTTTGTGATGGGGCAGAAGCTCCCCTGCTTGACTTCCAAGGCCGTGGTGGGCTGGACCAGACACTGAGGACACCCAAGGGTCTCCAGCAGCAGCTCCTTAGGATGTGTTACAATGGTTAGACAAGAAGGGAAAGGCCGTGTCACATTTGTTGAGGCTGAAGGTTTTGAACCTGTGTTGCAGACAAACAGACTTTTCTCCACCCCATGCATCAGGACCTGCACTATTTCCCGTTCCGGCCCGCGTCCCGCATCGTGTGCGCCTGGACCGCCATGGAACGGGCCGACCAGGACAACGGCTGCCTCGTTGTGCAGCCCGGGACACACAAGACCACCCTGAAGCCTCATGGCTATCCCACGTGGGAGGTAGAGTGTCACAGAGGGCTTGGAAAGGGCTGGGAAGAGCTCACTGTGGGGACAGGACTTGCAGGTCAAAGCTGAGGTTTTCAGTGATTTTTTTATTTTTCTGTTTATGCAAATACTGATGTTCTTTTGGGAGAGAGTTGCTTGGTTGGCCTCACTCCATGTGACCTGGATAGATTTGCTTGCCTCTTTTCCCACCTTCACCTAGAAAATGCCCAGCATGTCATGGCATAACAGCATAAACATGTGCCACTGTTTTCCACTGCCCCTGCCAAGTCTCTGTCTCCTCCTGTGGATTTGTTCCTGCCTGGTAGCACGTGCACTATCCCAAAGAGAAAAAATTGGATAGTAAGCAGCTGGATGCAACTAAATATCAAGTGGTATCTTCCTCTTAAGAATGGATGTCTCCTGACCTGACCTGGAGTTGGTGATGTTTATACTGGGAGCAGAAAGCTGGACCCCAGCAGTGGCATCAGGCCACACTTGTGGGATTCCCCGGTGCTCTTCTGTATTCTCCCCAGCTGAGAAATCTTAATTGTCCAAATCCAACTGCAGAAGATACAAAAAGTATTATTTTTTTGTACCTCAGGCTTGAAGTAGAAAGACTAGTGGGCAAATAGGCAGGCTTTTAGTTTGGCATATGGCATATGCTGCCCAGGGGAAAGCAGATCTGTAGCTGTCCCTGCTGCCCCTTGTGTTGAGAACCAACACTAATTTTAACTGAGTGATTTCAATTTAGCCTTTTTTTCCTAGGGTAAAACCAACAAACTTTTCCATGGGCTGCTTGATGAGGATGAGAAGACTCCCAAGGTTCACCTTGTCATGGAGAAGGGAGACACAGTGTTCTTCCATCCCCTGCTCATTCATGGCTCTGGGATAAACAAGACATCGGGTTTCCGAAAGGTAGGAAATCATCTCTTGATACAGTTTTTTATATTCCTGATTTTTAAAAAAAACTGACCAAACTATCCCCCGCCTTCACAAGCTCATGAATATGTGATTGAATGTTTTAATGAGTTTTTATTTTCCTAATATATTTTTGCACACACTTTTTTAAAATTTTTATTTTTTTTTTTTTTTAAACATCTGTGTCTTCTGGAAGCAGAGCATGCTGTGCAGCTGTTTGAGAAAAAACCGAGCAGAAGTAAAAATTAGATATTGAATCTCTGTTGGAAGCCTGACTGGCTGTACTTGCTTTACAAGTAGATCCTTTTCAGCAGTCCCAAATATCTGGAGCTTCTCTTTCTTCCCCTGCCTTGTTGGTATTTCATCTCTGGATAACAGGATTCTCCATCATCCAGTAAATAATATTTATTTATATGGTAACACAACCCATTTTTCTATTAACAATATGATTATATATCATATTTTTTTATCATGATTATTTAACTGAAACAGGCTAAAGTGCCCTCCTTTGGAGGCCTCACCCTGTCTCAGAAGGGATTCACCCAGGCACTCCAACACAGAGTGCTCTCTTTTTATTTTGTTTTACCTACTACATGGCCTGTTCTTTCAGCCCCAGTAGCAGCTTATTGGTGATTTCAAAGTACATGAGTTGTTGTGACTGTCTGGGTGCAGGATGTAAGAACCCTTACCGAACCCACGGATCTGCTCCAGCCCTGACTTTCCCTATTCCTGCTCTAGTTGCTAATGTTTTGAGACCAGGTACTACAGCTCATGCTGGGAGACTGTTTGGGAGAGAAGGGAAGGAATAAGAGCATGTCAGCAAGCAAGAGTATTTCTCAAAGGGGACACTCTCAGGAGAGAAGGAGGGCTCTGAAAGGAGAAAGGAATTTGCTGGCATGATCTGTAAGGAAGGAACGAGGTGTCCACAATCTGGGATCCAACAGTCCTTTGTAATCCATGTGACAGTGAGTGATGCCCCATTTCCTCACACAGAGCATAAGCTGTCACTTTGCCAGCTCAGAGTGCTACTACATTGATGTCAAGAACACGACTCAGGAGCACCTGGAGAAGGAACTGCAGGAAGTGGTCCGCAAGAAATACAACGCGACTTCCGTGGAGCTCAAGGTAAGACTTGGCTCAGTGCCGTTTGTTACAAACCAGGCCAGTTCCTTTCCAGCTCTTGTGTGGCAGGTTTGTGCTCTTTCCTATGCCCAGTTTGGCAGATCAGACTGTGCCAAGCAGAGGTGTTTGGCAGGATAAAAGACCTGATTTTCAGAAGACGACTTGTGTGTTTTTTGGGGGCCTTTTTCCTCATAATGCTGCTTCTTGCTATGGTGGAGAAATGGCCTTGCTCTCTGGCAGCTCTTTCACATCCCTTGAGCTCTAGAAGTTCCTCCTCCTGCTCTGCTTGTCAAAATGGCTTTTTTGAGCACACCTGGATCCTTTCCAGAGTGGCTGCGTTGGTGGAAATTAGATCAGCATTTTGTTGTAGCACAAGCAGGGAGGATCCTCAGCCCCTGCTGTCATGATGGCTCAGCTCTGAGGCTGCTCACACACACTTCTTACAGCATTTGAGAGGCTCTAGACTTCATAGAATCATAGAATTAAGGTTGGAAAAGACCTTTATGATCATCAAGTCCAACCATTTCATCCCACTGGGACAGGATTAGGGTGAAGTCGCTGCCAGCTCTGCCCTTCACTACATCTCCTGGTTCATGCTTTATTCTGGGGAGTCTGAACCAGACTATTTGCTATTCTATTCAGACTGCACAGAGTGAATAAAAAGATGTGGTCATTTGCCCCGAATTTACAAGTATAAGAAGGTGCAATAAATTCAGTGCTTGCCCAGTTTATATGTCCACAGTTCTTGGAGCTTCCCCACCCAGTGTTGTGTGGATTTTCCTTTTAAAACAAGTAGCCACATCTGACTGCAGTAACAGACTGATATTTTTTTTTTTTGTTAAATATAATCCCACATCAGTTGTTTAGACTTGAGGCTACACCAGGTTTGTCAGCAGTGATACACATCTGCCTCAAAGAAAAATAAAATGTGGGACTAATGGACTCTCACTGAATAACTGAAACCATTGAGTAAAGCAGAAAGCACATATAAATTCTTCAGGGATCCAGCCACTGAAAGAAAAATAAACCTTGTTACTGGGGTGAAAGTGTTTGTATTTCTTAATCCACAGCAGTTCCCTGATGTGCACAGCCAGTGTCGAAACAGTAAAGTCTAGATGTAATAGGCAACAATTTTCTTTTAAAATCTACATATTTTACAGTACCTAGGGCTTTCTGGAGGAGAGGACTTTCTTTTTCACCTTTGGGGTTTTTGTTCTGCTTATTTTCCCCCAGTGTGCCTGGTTATGGTGAGGTGCCCAGCTGTGCTTTGCAAGCCTGGTCTTACAGGTCTGTAAAATCACAGCATGCTTGGCTTTAGTTCCTGGGGTTAATTAGGGACACTGTGAGATCCAGAGGGATACATGGTGAGGCTCTCTCCTTCTCCTGAGTGGCAAAGAGGTTGTGCTCATATAAACCTCAGGGAAGAGTCTGTGCTTTCATGTAGCTTTAAACTTTTTTTTTAACCAGAGTTGGAACTTTCTCCCAAAGGAGTGCCCAGCTCTTATTTCACCTTCACAAGGTGCTAAGGACTAAGTAATCCTCTATTTCCATCTCTGTAAACTGGAATCTTGGTCACTGTTTTTGCTGACCCTCAGGGCTTTTGCTTTGTCTCATTTTTGTTTTGAAGGATATCTGGAACTTCCGAGCACGGCTTGTGCAGGGGGAAAGAATTAACCTGTAGAAGACCCTCTGAAGAGCAGAATGGAAAACAAGTGCCTGGGAAAGAGCTTCTCTGGGTGGGGGAGACTGCAGACCCTGCCTGGGCAGCCAGAATTCCATGTGCTTTGTTGGCCTCTTTAGTGGTAACTCAGCCAAATGCTGCATTGCAAAATTGTTCTATGCTAATACAGAATAATTACCCTGAGGTTGGACAGCAAGGAAAACCTAATCTAGAAAACCAGATTTGCTGTGGATGTCTTAGAGAATTGAAGAGTTAAGGTCTTGAAAGAACACTTTGATTTTCCTGATGTTTTCTTTCTTGTTTCTTAAATGTTTCCCACATGACACACCTTTGGAAAGATGCTATACTAACATGAGAAAAATTTCCAGCGTTCCCAACTTCCTTTTCTATGCAAAGAAAAAAACAAAAAAAAAAGAAGAGTTTCACAGAAGCCTGACATGGGAAGTTGTTAGTAGAGCTGATAAAGATGGGGGTGTTGGTACCAGCAGAACCAATGGTGTAAGGAACTACATAAAGGGAAAGCAGCAATGACTCATATAGAAGAATGGGATTTGTGGGCAGGAATATGATTGCTGGTAGAGTTCCTCAGACATGGCTTGCTGTGGCATCGTACCTGACCGAGCAGTGCTGGCACAAGTGAAATATGTGTCTGATGGGGTTGGGAGATACTGGGCCAACGAACCAGCCTCCCATTGGCCTTGCACAACTGATCCAAAGCTGTGTCAAGTGAGGGAAGTCCTCCTTTGAGACTGGTGGGACTGGGAAAAGGTGCCTTTTGCTGCTGCCAGGTTGAGGAGGTGGTTGGATGCTCCTTGGGACACAGTGGTGGCAGGGTGGAGAGATGTGCACTGAGATGATCCTCTCACCTTTGACAATGTTTTTTCTTGCTTTCTGAAAGATCCTTTCACTTTCAGAATCTATTTTTTGAAATACAGAATAAATCAGAACCAAACTGCATTTGGGGGCTGTATTGTATTATTTCTGCTGCTCAGAAAGTGGTGGTGGATGTGTCCCCTTTCCACCCAAAAAAGTGCCAAAACAGCACCAAAGTTTTCACTGACAGGTACTCATGGCTCCTTCTGCCCTGTTTGCTGGTTCTTCCTCTGGCTGCAGGTTTTCTTGTGCTGTTTGTATGCTTTCTAAACAAGGTGAGGTTTGAGCAGGGTTATTGCATTGATCCTGAACCCTTGGTGGTGGGGTGAGGTGTCTGGGCTGTGCTTCCCACCTGGAGACAGACATATCCTCTGGTTTGACCACCATCCTCTGGTTTGAACACCAAGAAGTCTGATGAGTGGGGAGACTTTAGGACAGACTCCCAGACCTGCTTAGTGGGTGACTTTGAGTATCCTGGTTCCTGCATCTCTTCCCAAGCCTTTATATAACCCTGGCACTAATCCAGCTCTTGGGGAGGGCATGGATCCAAGTGAATGATTTCCAGTGAGTTGGAGACCCCGTCTGCTGACTTTGCTGAGCTCTGGCTCACAGCCTAATGGGGCTTTCTTTGGGAGTTTTTGTGACGATTTGGTCTATCCCATATGGTTCATGGCACAGGATTCACGGAGAGACTTCAGTGTCTGGTGTTACTGGTGCAGCTGAGTTGGCTGCGGAGGGAGCTGTGACCATAGAGAAGAGCTACAGGTGTCCTTCAGATTTCCAGACTCTGAATTTCTCTTGCTACAGCTGGGAGAGAGAAGGAAAGTAAGAACTTCAGCTTCGTTTTTAAAAATTTGTGCATGTCTGCAAATGGATTTAGGCTTGAATTCCCTCTTTCAGAAAAACAAACCCATCAGAGACCTTGGATATCATCTAAACTCAGCAGTTGTCCCACCTCATGAGAGACTTGTTTCCTCACTCTGTCCTATGACAGCAGAGCCTGGGGAGGACTAAGCTTAGTAAGATCCCCTTGACTGTGTGCAAGGCCTGCTCTGCTGCTTCCTAGCAATGCCAAGGAGTCTGATCCCTGCCCCTGAAATCACTCTGGGCAGAGCCAGATTCAGCAGGGTGTCTTGTCTCCTTCTGAGCAAAGCTACACACTCATGAGAGCAGGACCATGTCCCTGGGAGAGCAGGATCTACAAGCACTTCCTCGTGTGATATGTGAGCAAGAGCTGGAGTCCAAAGGATTCTCCATCAGTTCATGTAAATGTGACCTCCTGTGTGAGGGATCGACCTGCTAAGTCTTAAAGTGTTTCTGTTCCCAGCCAGCAGAGATTCGGCAATCCCAGGTTTCCAAAGCACATGCCCCACTAGTGGAAATTCATGGCTAGAAATTAATCTCAGTCTCCAGCACTTGGTTTTCTGTGTAAAACAAACCCACAACCCACCCTAGTCTCCTAGGGTTTGGTTTCCTGGCAGTACCATGCCACTGATTTGGGTCACTGCAGGGGGAGAGCTGCAAGGTCTCACCAGCCTTCAGGTCCAAACTCCCTCTTCTTTGAATCACCACCCTGGCAGAAGGAAGGGGAGGAGGAGAGGAAAAGCAATAACTAACCAAGTCACCTGGGTTTGTTTTGGTTTTTGTTGTTGTTGTTGTTTGGGGGGTTTTTGTTTGTTTTTGTTGTTGTTTGGTTGGTTGGTGGTTGTTTGTGTTTTTTTTGCTATCCTGTGAAAAGTTCATGTGATAGAGGAAGAGCCCTGAAAAGAGAAGGACCATGTTCAACCTCTGGCCTCCACCTTTTACGGAACCAGAATAGGCTGGAGGAAAGCTGACTCCAGGTTGCAATGAGGACACACTGCATTCACTCTGCTCCTGGTCCTTGCAGCAAGTGCCTTGACCTGCAGGCTGTGATGTGGTGAGGGCACATTCCCAATTGCCTTGGCAAGACCTTCGCTCTCACTCCTGTGAGTTCATCCCCAGCTCTGAACTGAGCTGGGAGGAAAAGCAGCATTTGGACTTGGCTTCTCGCCTCAAACTGCACAGACACCAGGAGGCTCACCTGCTGAGGTTTGAGAGTTTGACTTCCACGGGTTGATGTCTTTCTCTTGGTTGGCTGGGGTGAGGAGGTTGTTTGGAGAAGTCTGGATTTCCTGGATCCTTTTCAGGTTTATACTGAAGGAGTTTTTCCTGCAGAGCACAGGAACCAGGAGGAGATAAATGGATTTGGAGAACTAAAAATTACTTGTTAGAACAAAGGTCTTTTTGATTTTTAAATTTTTCAATGTTCCCAAGCATCCTGTGAACGATAAATGAAGTTATTTGAATCCTGAACCTTGCTGTGAAGGTTGCTCTTGAACCTTGTCTCTCCAAAATGTTTGTTTGCTTCTGAGTGGTGCTAGGCATAACATGCCTGTGGATATACTATTCCAAAAGGGTTGTGTGAGGGGAAAAGTTTAAATACTCTGTGCCTTTACCAAAATGAGCTGCTGGAGCTGCAAGTGCCTCTTCCTCCTCACTGTCCCAAGCATTTATCTTCTTAATCTCCCTCCTCAGCTGCTCCTCTCACCTTTTGCTTTCCCTTCACTCACCACTGTTGCATTTGCACAGGCTGTGTCCTGCTCACACCCTGTGTGACTCTTGACAGGTAAGGTCTAGAGTTTCTCTGTGTGAAGCTCCAATCCACGCACAAAGCAGTTGTGAGGCTTCATTAGCAAGGGGGGTTTACTGTCCTCTGGAGCAGACTGTGTTCTCTCTGCCTGGCAGGACACAGTCCAGTTTGTTTAAACTTGTTGAAATGAATTCCTGTGCTTTCCCTGTGAAGTGTTAGGAGAGGTGTCATTTCTCTGCAGTGGTGTTTTCATACTCTATTGTGCTTGAGTGAATACTCCTTAGTTTATACCCCAGATAACTGCTTCTGCTGCTCAGCCAAAAACGTTTGGGTAAATTGTATCTTCATGTATACAAGAATCAAAAATTTAATTTAAATTACTACTTAATTATTTTCTTCCAAGTGCCCTTTGTGTCTGCTGTGGGAAGGGTTTCTTGGCAGTTCTCCCTGGGACACAAGGAGATGAATCCACCAGGAGTTCTGATAATGAGACGAGATCTGCAGACCCAACTTCATTCAGTCTGAAAAAAAGTTGGTAAAGTGCATAATTTCTGGGAAGATGAAGAGCTGTTCAGATCCTGTACTCTGCCAGAGGTAACAAGCCAAAAGGGGACACTGGTGGGAGAACCCAGCAGAGATTTGTGAACGTATACATATTTTGATGCCAAGGTGAGGGCAATGTCCAAGCTGGGCAGGTCAGACTAACCCTTCTGGAAGGTTACATGATGCTCTAATACGTGCTCTGTCCAATACCAGATGGATTTGTACTTTGTGTTCATGTTGGGGTTGTTAGCAGCAGCAGATTCACATCACTTTTCATACAGCAAGAAACTGTGTTAATGTATGTAATGGGCAGGTACAGTTTCCTCATGTGTTGGCTTTTCTTGGATTCTGGCTGACAGATAAACTTCCTGATCCATTATGCAGAGCTCCAGGGGGAGGGAAATGCAGAAGCTGTTAACATGCCTGGGTCACCGTGTATTTAACTGTAGCAGCACTTACCCTCTTAGAAAAGTTGCTTGAATTGAATTGAATTAGAAACAATTCTGAAAATATATTAAGTTGTTATGGTATTAGTGTGGTTTAGGTTAGCCCTGGCTTGGTAAGATATGTTTCTTGTAATTTGGTTTGCAGCAGATGTTTGGGTTCACATGTTGGAGGTACATGCATGTACCTAAATACCTAAATTGAAGTGCTGTTGTATGTAACAGCATGTTACATCCAAAATATTCTAATTTAATGTTTCTGCAGTTTAGGTCTCTGCACCATGTTAACCATGCCTTGCCTTTTTTTTGTTGTTTCTTTTTTTTAAAATGAGTTTTAAAAAGGAACATGTAAAAATTAGACACCCAGCTGCTTATTTGTCCTTCTCCACCTGCAGCCTCAATGTTTAAGACACCTTTTTTTTATTGGCCTTGACGTTTCACGTGTTGAAAACAAGGGCCTTCTGGAGCTTGGTAAAAGACAATAAACACAGCGAAGATTCTTTGCTTAGAATTTATGTGCTATTTTCCAGACTAACAGTTCAGAAATGTCAGATTTAGTCTGACTCCTGACCTTGCTGACAGCGGTTGCACGCTCAGCGCTTTGATATGAAGACGCTTGGACAGGTGCCAGAGGAAGGATTTTAGAATCCTGGCTTTGGCTTCCAGTGCTGTAGATCAAAGTCATACTTCATGCAAGAGAAACTGGAGGGGGAAAGAAAGTTTAATTAACTACATTACGATTTTTTCTAAGTGGATTTGACTTTTTATACCCTTTTGTGGTGCAGCAGAGCTGAGACTGGAGCTGTTTTCTGCTCTGAGGTGTCTGGCAAAAGCATGTCAGCAAGGGAATTTCTCCAGGAAGGGTATTGCTCCAAGGGGACACTGTCAGGAGAGCAGGAGTGCTTGGAAAGGAGGAAGGAACTTGCTGACAGGACCTGTGAGGGAGGGTGGGGTGTCCATGATCTGGGATGCACGGTTTTTTTCAGCAATCATTTGTAATGACAGGGGCAGTGTAAAGGGGCAGTGAGTGATGCCCAATTGCCTCACAGCTCAGAGGGCTACTACACTGATGTTAAGGACATGATCCAAGAGCAGCTGGAGAAAGAAGTAATTGAATTTGGACAAGAAAAATATGACTTCTGCTCCAGACCTTGTGCTAATCTTAATTCACGACCTTATCTTGTAACTCACAAGCATTTTTGGCTTTTTTGCTGATAAGGCTTCTTGCTGCCTGCCTGTGCTGGAGAAGTGCCCTTGCTCCCCAGGCAACCCCTTCAGATCTCTGGGAAGCAGCCAAGGAGCTCTGCAAGTCCCTCCTCCAGCTCTGCTCATCACCTTTCCCACCTCTGAACTGCCAAAATTTATTTCATCCACGTGCCTTGGTATCTTCCAATGCAAATCAACCCAGGTAGGGCAAGCTTGTGCCAGCAGCTCTTTAGGTGACTATAAGTGAAATTGCAGGAATAGGAGGGCATTGTTTAGAGAATGGTTTGGGTTGGAAGGGACCTTAAAGATCATCTGGTTCCAACCCCTTGCCATGGGCAGACAACTTCAACTAGACCAGGTTGCTCCAAGCCCCATCCAACCTGGCCTTGAACACTTCCAGGGAAGTGTTGATCTGTGGTGTCACCTCTGTACACCACATCAATCCAACGAGCATTTGGTTTATGACAAGTGGGGTTTTATGTGTTAGAATTTTTATTTCATTTAGTGTTGTCTGTCCTGTGCAAAGACAAAGACTGAATCTTTAAAGTGACCTCTAAAGACTAGGATGAAAAACATGCCTGAGCATCAGCTTCTGAGGAGTCAGATTTATGTGCTGTTTGCCCTCTGTGTAAAGAACTTGTCCAAATGCTGCATTACAAAAGCATTTTATTCTAATACAAAATAGTTGCAGTGAGGCTTAACAGCTGATGGACTTCTAGGAACACCTGACCTACAAAATCAGGTTGCTGCAGTTAGTTTAGGTAATCAAAGAAAAATTATGATGAGTTTGTGCATTGCTTCTTGATTATTTTTTCTAGTCTCTCTCTTGATATACTTTTTGGCTGATGCTCTATTAATGAAAAGTTATTAATAATCTTAATATACTCATAATTATTATAGTTAGATGAAATTAATAGTAATATAAAAAATCTATGCATGGTTATGTTTTTAAAGCTTCTGACATCCTTTTTCCATTCAAAATAAACCAGCGAATCAAAGCTCACATGGAAGTCATTGGTATAGCTGATGAAGACGTGGATTTTATTTTTATTTTTGAAATAAAAATTAAATTAGGGCAAAACCATGTTCTGTTTTGCATTGTGTTTCTATGGCTCAGAAATTCTGCCCATGGGTGCATGGCTGTGGTTTGCAGGACTGGGGAGCTGTTCAGAGATGACTCTTCTTTATTCCAGGACATCCTGCTGTAGTTCAGTTCAATGCTCTGGGATGCTGAGATGTAGTTTTGGTGTGCAGGGCTGGACACCCTCTCCTGAAGCCTTCCAGCCCTGGGGGAGTTTGGTTTTCCAATCATTACATTCTCCAAAAATCATCAGGAAATGTTAATGAGTCCCAGGAGCTGGTAGGTGCTTCCTTGGCACCGTATTTCAGCGCAGTTACCATGGTTTTGGCCAACATTAACATCAATCTCCTTGTTGTGAGCTGAGGCTATTTTTTCTGCTTTTAAATCCTAGCAGACACTTCATGACTCTTTATTACAGCCTTTGCTCACAGATATGGCAATGCCAAACCCATTTTGGAGACAGCTTTGGACAAACCATCTGCCAGTCTCTCTTCATCTCCTCACTCTGTGACCATCCTGATTCCAGTCCTTGTCTTGGCTTCCACGTTGTTAAGAGCCAAGTGCTCAGGAATCAGCATAGCAGTGTAATCTCTGGCACAGGAAAAGTGTATAAAAAATAGTGAGGCACATAAAATCCAACCCATCAGTCTCCCCCACTCCTTGTTTACTGCTGGGTTTTAAGCAAAGCAATGGGCCTTGGTTTCTTCACCCTGTTTTTGCATACAAGCATGAACTCAGTATTGCTTTCACTCCCACATACCTTTGCTACACATCCCAGTCCTGGGGGCATTTATGAAGATAAAGCATTACCCCCACCTTTGACAATTTAATTTCTGCAGAATCCCTTTTCCACTGGCCCAAAGGACAGGAACTGGAAAAAGTCTGAAGCTTTCAACTTGCCAACTAAAGGCTGATATTGATGTGGAATTGATGGTTTTGTGGGCTCCAGGTTCGAAACTCCTGAGAAAACTGTGTGGCAGCTGGAGTCGTGGACCACAAACCAGCTCCTCTTGGCGATTCGGCACCGAGCTCGTGGGCAAACGAAGATGTTGATGAAGCAACTCATCCTCCTCCTCAGAGCAATGACACCATACAGACCCAGGGAGTGTTTATTGTGCACTCTATTTATTCTGGATGAGGAATCCACGGGGGACAGTGACATATTTAGTCACCTACCAATGTCACCCCACCTGTCAAATGGTACCGACACAAGACTGAAACCGATGCAATAGGCCAAGCTGCCCAGTAAAAGCACCAGTAAGAGATGAGGGATGCACAATGCTGAGGTGAATCTGTCCAGTTGCTTCAAATGAACTTATTTCTCTTCAAATGAAGCAAATTATTTCTCTCCCAGCCCCTGTGCAAGCAAACAAGAGGCACTGACAAGGCCACTGGGACTGTTGGTGGCACTTTGATCAAATCACTGAGGTTCTAGTGGTTTTAGGCAGTTAAAAATGTCCTGTGATCCTGTTGGGCCTGGGCTAGGGACAGCAGAAGGCTCAGGTCCAGGAAAAGCTCATCAAACGCCCCAGGCACCCCTAGAGAGATGTGCTTTCAGAAAAACACCTGTATGGAGACAGCCCTTCTCAGGAGCCACCCCTTGGAGGGAGATCTTGTCCTGCTTGGTCTGCGACAGCCACTGCCCCCATTTAAAATGCCAGAAAATGGGTAAAAGCTTTTAAATGTAATCACTCAGCTGTTTAAAACCACTCACAAAGTGGTCCCACATTCATTAAAATGCTTTTCGAAGTGGGAGTTGCAGGTCTGTAGCCCTAGAAGTGCTGTAGTGTGGATGGTGCTGGGAACATGACATGGACTGTGGGACAGGGAGCTCCTGAGTCTCCACTGTACACACCACTGGCTTGCAATGCCAGAGCCATGGAAGGGTTTTGTAACACGTAAGCCAAGGAAAAACTTGGAAACTCTTTCTGTTCCTAGGGGTTCAAAGTGAGTAATTTTTAAGCCAATAGAGAATGGCCTGTGCCTACAATCCTCTCACACCCCTTTTAGGCCAAGAGCTGAAAAACCTGACAGGCTGGCATTTAGTACTAATTGCATCACATCACAGTATTAATTTCACAAGTGCTTAAAGAATCTACTGTCCCTCCAGTTCATGATGATTCGTCACATAAAAGTCTGGTGAGGTCACTCTTGTTGTGTTAGTTGGAAAGAACAGGCACGAATGTGCATTTCACATGCAGCCTTATTCAATCAATTTAAAAAAGACCAAAGCTCAATATCCATGCAGTGGCCTGGTGGACATCTTTCAGATGTCCTTTTCATCAAGAATTGATTCCCCCCCTCATACATCCCTAAAATCTGAATCCTCTTGGCAGTCCAGTATAAATGTGTGTTTCAGGTACAGAAATCCATCCTTAGGTTGTGAAAAAAAAAATCAACTCCAGGTCACTTAAGACTATTGAGAAATTTTGGTTGTTCCTCTCCTCTTGGTAAAAGTGTTTCTCCACCAATCTTCGGACCTTTTTTCTCCTGGAAACATGAATCATGGAGAAAAGAAGTTAAGCATAGATGTCTCCCAAACACTTCTCTGACAGAAGTTGTGGTAGGGCTAAATAATCTGATTAAATATGGACAGACACTCTAGGGACCTTGACATTTTGAATTCTTACAACTTTGTTAGAAAGCAGATTCCCTGGTTAAACGAAACAAAGCTTTGAGAACAAGAAAGCAAGAGGAGGAAGTCCACTAAAACACAGCCTGCAGGTCCCTGCGTGTCCCTGACAAAATGCAGAGCTGCTTGGCTTTGCCAGAAGCTCATAAGGGCGGGGAAGCAAAGCGGGGGACAAAAGTACCAAGGGGAGCAGCCAGAGTGCTGAGGTGCTCAGGAACTGCTGCTCACACTTACCTTTAACATCCCATCTCGCTCCCACTTGTAGAGGCCACAGGTACTGAAAGATGAAGATGGAAGGTGAGGACCACTGTGGTGTGTGTTTGCTGCACAGTATGAGGGAGTACAAAACTAGCCCCACACCCTGCCCACGCTGCCTAGCACAAGGGCTGATGTCTCTGGTTTAGGACATGGTTATGCGACTCACAACGTGTTATTTGTGAATGGACGGTACAAAAGTCCCAGTCACTATTTCATGAGGCTTCTTTCTTACCTGCAGTGCTTTTTTGGGAGCCTGTCAAGGGAAATAGCTCTGCTTCCACAAGGACATTTGAAAAATCGCTTGATGGCATCATGCCAGCAGTAGTCGTGCTTTTCCTGCACACACGTCTCCAGAGGCTTGAAATAGGTGTAATTACACTGTCAGAGAGGAGAGAGAGAGAGAGCTGTGAGTGCTTCACCAGTGTGAGACCTGTTCTGTGGGCCAGCAACAGCTGAATGTTCAGAGGGAAGCAGCCCTGTCTTCTCCCATCCTGAGGAGCCCACCAGTCAGATCTTTCACAGGATCACAGAATATCCTGAGTTGTAAGGGACCCACAGGGATCATTAAGTCCAACTCTTGGCCCTGCACAGGACCATCCCCAAGAGTCACACTACATGCCTGAGAATATCATCCAAACACTTCTTGAACTCTGTCAGGCTTGGTGCTGTGACCACTGCCCTGGGGAGCCTGTTCCAGTGCCCAACCAACCTCTGGGGGAAGAACCTTTTTCTAATATCCAACCTAAACCTCCCCTGACACAGCTTCAGGCCATTCCCTCAGGTCCTGTCACTGGTCACCACCCCAGGCTTCGTCACTGCTCCTTTTAATGCCATCCTTCCTTTGCCACCACCCTGTGGCCCTGCTCCCAGCACCTTATGGGGCACACAGTGGCCCTCTGTGCAGCCCCCAAACTGATAGGGAAGGCAGCAAAAGGGAAAGTTCAGCAGGGGCTGAAACTCCAGGAATGGGAGACAACACTTCCCTTTCTCTCAGCACATTTGGGAGAGTCACAAAGCTCCCCTCCCCTTCCTGATGGCAAAGTCCCTGGAAATGCAGATAGAGGATTCCCACCCACTGATAATGTTTTCAAGTCGCTTTGCTTATTTTGTTGTGTAATACGGGGAACTGAGTGTCCTGGTATGAAGCACTTCATGGTAGAAACTGAGAAATATTTTCAGGACACCAATGCCCAAGGAACCCACTGGCATAAACACCAAGCTGAGATGTTCAGCACAGCACTAAAGTCTGCCTTGCCATGTCTCAGCCAGTGCTGCTCTCAGCAACAGGCATAAGGAACAAAACTGTCTCCATCTGATCCCTGTGCTGGACCACAGCCAAGAGAGTGACAGATGGGAGTCTGCAGGATATCCAGCATCATTTTGTACCATCCATGCTCCACTCCACTGCTGTTACCCTGGCTCCCCTTCCCTCACCGTTTTACACGTCACAACTCGACATTTCACTGCTTTGATGTTCCTCATCTTCTCTTCCAGCTCTTCCTTTTTCACCAGTGGCTGAAAGTATTGCTCCTGCAATTCAGCCTCAGCCTGGGGGGCACAAAAAGAGGGTTGTGGGGAGACAAAGATGGGAGAAGCCACTCCATAAATGGCCTTATTACCAGGCCTGCTTGAAGCAGATTGCAGTCTGGGAGCAGAGAAACACCAAATCTCTTTTGCTTCAAATAATCCATACTGTAAACATGCTACACCAACACTGCAATGAGCCACTCTGAGATGTACGAGTGGGTGGGTTTAACAACATAAAGTACAGAAATAAGGACATGCCCATGAGGACAGTGCAGAGAGAGGGCAGGTAGGCAGATGTAATGAATGGAACTGGTTCTTAGCCAAAATATTACTCCTCAGAAGACCTTAAAACAACTATGACTTCATAGCAATACATGTCTAATACAATAGTCTGTGGCACTGGAGATGCTGTATCCCTGGGAACATGCTCAGCAAAGACTCCAATGGGAGACACCCAACCTCTGAGCTCCTCAGGGCAATTACTGGCATGTCACAGGCTCCATGACTGACATGAGTCACACAGGAAGGTGGCAGATGGCTTTATGTGGCCAAGATGTCAAGAAATGAGGGACAAAATAGGCATGTGACTGTTTTAAAGCAGAACGATTTCTTTGATCACCACTAATCAGGAAACTTCACTGATTCTTTCAAACACAGGAAAAAACAAACCCTGATGGCAACTTGGCCTTATTATGGCTATGGCAGTAGTGCTGACCTGCAGGCACTGCACCCTGTGTGCTCAGAGACACCTGACCCTTTTCATCAGGAGGATCTGGTGCCTGTGACATGTTCCTGAAATCACTATGAGGAGTCCAGTCAGCTCCCTAGTTCTGTGCCCTCAGTCATGGCTGGATTGAGGCCATACCTCTTTCAGGACATCTGTGTACTTGGACTTGGCACTCAGGATTTTCTGGAACTCTTCTGACTCCAGATAGGCCAGCTGCTCACGCCGTTTCTTTTGGGCAGGCTCCAGCTCATCCAGATCTAGGGAGACAAAAAGGCTCAGTCCTACAAAACAAGGTTGTGATTTCTAAGCATGATCTCTGCAGGAGTTTTTGGAGGTCTCAGGTCTCTCAGGCAGATGTTCAGCTCAAACAGCAGCCTTTTGTAGTTCAGGAACATGAAGCCAAGTTCAAATATGGCTTCAGAAAAAATAAAAGCATTTTTTTAAACAATGTTGCATCTTCTCTCAAAGCACTGTACCAGGAATTTTCATGTTAATCCCAGGAGAGCAAGCAGTGTTGCCTCACTGACTGATGGAGAAGCTTTAAAGGGAATTAAGCAATTTATCCACAATCACACAGTAAATCACCAGCAGGCAAACTGAAGTTCCCACAGAAAATTCAGATACCTTCCAAGGTGGGATTATTTCTTGGTTTTCCTTGGTTATGTCAGCCATGCATTGCAGATGGTCAGGTGCCAGAAGGGAATAGAGGTGAGGACAGGGAGCTACAACAGATTACATCTCACACTCTCTCCACACGGTTAGAGATTGTTTAGTCTTTGCAACAAACCTCTGAAGTTTCAAACAGACCTAACTTGGTCTCTCTTTAGCACAGCAATTAAGTCCTTAACCCAGCAACTATGCTCTGTTCAGGACAGAAGCACATTTTTTCTGTTCTGGAAGCTAACATTACATACCATTCTCTGCTTCTGCACCTTGTGGCTGAGCAACATTTTTCTCAACTCTTTCAACAATTTCTAGGACACCATCAGCATCAGCCCGTTTCCTCTTGACACTGTTTGGGTCTGTTTTAGCCAGAATCTGTCCTTTTGCTCGCAGTCGGTGGATTGCAGCCAGCTGGAAAACAGGAAAGAGCAAGGAAAGTGTGGATGACCTGTCTGGCTCCCGTGTTCCTACTCCCAGAAGTAACAGAGGAAGGCTGTCAAAACTGAGGAGACAAAATCCAGTGGTCTGAGCATGGAGCTGGCTGGAGAGAGGCCCAGCAAAACTCCCAGCTCTGCTGTACATCTAATTCAACACATCACCCAACATCTCATGACTTCCCAAACCATAAAATCAGTCCTGCATGGGTGTCACCAGGCCTGGTATCTCTGTAGCTGTGCTTTACCTGCTTCACAAATGAGTAAGTTTTCCAGAGAAATCAAAACACTTGAGATTTCTACATAAATTGACAATAATTTGGAGCTAACAGAAAAGTGCATACAACTATTCCTTTTAATTTCATTCCCAGAATGCTAAAACTCCTTCCTTCTTGCTGGAAGACAAAGGTTTCTTTGACAGACTTGTGAGCAGAGTTTTGCCAAGCAAAGATGCAGTCTGTTCTGGCTAGAAACCAAAATTATCCAAATTCATGGCACAACATAGCTAAACCAGTTTAGTTCACTGTTGCTTACCTGGAAAACACTCACCATACACTGCACTAGCAATGCCAAAGAGCAAATAGGCAGAGTTTAGCACTCTAGAGATTTTCAGCAAATCCCTTGCCTTAAGGGATTGACTACAGGCAAGATGGTAGCATGGACTTTGGCACTATCAGGAACCACAGGTTTCCTGTGTGCTGGAATATAGGCCAGTGTGATCCCAAAAATCATAAGCTTCACTACCATCAGAACTGAGCTGGCCCATATGTGACCAAAGACTCCTCTACTACCACAAACCAAATTTCCCTTAACCTCTACTTCTTAATACTTAAAAAGATCCAAAGAGCTGGTACCTTTTTGGCTTCAGCCAAGCTGTCCAGCTTTGGTCTTGGAGGAGGTGGAGATCTGTCAAAGAAGAGGATATCTTCTCCTTCCGAGAAGCCAGTGCCCAGCCTGGGCCTCTGAGGAGTGGACATTTTTGCATCTTTGGGAAACTCTGCCCCAGCCACTGGGGAATGGAGGGAGGTCTGTCTGGAGGAGGATGGGACAGCAGGACTGCTGGCTTTACCTGTGCTCTGGAGAAACCTTGTAAGACAAGAACAATTCATTCAATTAGGGACACAAGCCAAAGAGACAGAAAAGCTTAAGAAACAAATAGGAGGAGATGCAGACTGTGATTTTCACTAATTGGCCTTTTATTGCTAAAAGAAACATATAGCAATTTAGGCATTCAGAAGATGAAAACAAGGCTGGTAAATAACTCACTGAGTCGCTGAAATCAAGAGTGACTTGAAGAAGCCACCAGAATGAGTGAATGACCAATTGCTTCCAAAACTAAAATCAGAGAGAGAGGCATCAAACAAAGCTGGGACGTGGGAAGTGAAAGCACTTGGAAAAATGGGCTTCATTGCAGAACAGGTAGTTAAGCAGGGGGTTCTATGTCCCAGGAGCCACATAAGTGTTTGTTTATGTAGGTCACAATGGAGGTTGAACAGGTTCATAGGGAAAAATTTCCTTCAGAACTATTGTAACAGACATCACCTTCAGTTTGTAAAGTCCCCCAAATACTCGCTGTTGTAGGCTAGAAGAATATATGGGGGAAATATCATCATGATTGTGGCTATTATTCTCCTTTGGGTTCTGTTTTGGTTCCTGTTGAGCCTTTTGAGGCTACTTGGCTGCATCAATCTCAGCCTCATCCAGGATGGCTCTTCTGAGGTTCTTCTTAGGTTTGTTAACAACATATGCACAAAGCACTTGGCAAATCCTAAGGTTCAGAAGACCCTTGCAAGCCAGCAATGAACAGAACCAGGACTCCTGATTCCAGTTTCTTACTCTAATCAGCCTCTTCCCATCATGCCTTCCAGCTGCTGGGTAGTGTGCTGGAACATTTGGTTCTCCACTGAATGCTAGGGTATTTCTATTTAAACGAAGTTTCTATTAAAACCCTGTTATACTTAGGGCTACAATAACAGAACCTTTCCTGTGAAAGTCTTACCGCCTCTGAATTTCTTCAGATCGCTTTTTTCTGGCCTCCAGCAATTTCTGTTTCTGTTGCTTGAGCAATGCTGAAGCAGAGATAGACTGGAAATTGGCCCCTTGCTTCTTTTCAGCATCTGAGAAAAAAAACCCAACAAAACAACAAACCAAAATAAAAAACCACTAATGTTTGTTCAGAGTGTGTAGAGTGATTTCACAAGTGGGTTTTCCTTTAGGCTAAAGGACAATACCTGCTTTGGTCCAGTGTTTGCAGAGGTTTCGTGCTCCAAAAGTTGGCTGTGCCAGCAGTTCCTTGAATTCCTCAGAACATTGCATGGGTCTCTTTGCTACACCTGGAGTGGAAGGGGCAGAAATACAACAGACTTGGAGCCAGAAAGGGAAGCAGGCCTGGCTTTAGAGATGTAGAGTCATCTAGGGTGGAAGAAACCCCTGTGGGTCACCTGAGTGAGCACTTCCCAAAGCAAGGCCCACCTCTACATTATATTTAGTTGCCCAAGGCCTTGTCTTCATAAAGCACATCACAAAGACATTTCTATGCTGTCAGCAATTTCGTCAGTCAGTTTCTCCTCAGCCTTGGCTGTGTTACTCCCACTGTTCCCATTTTTGGAATGCTTGAAAGTCCTGAAGACTCCACACCTTATCCCTGGAGAATTAAGAGCTGCTGAAAGCTGCTACGGACATACACTATGTTGCCTGAAATGGAGGCAACTGATGGAACTGCAAGATGTAAATAAGATGTCTAAGTGGCATTATTTAAACAAAGTTTAAATAATCTGTCACCTGCTCTCCAGTGAGCACGAAGAGGGTATAATATTAAGTGCTTTACAGAAACAAAACAGAGGCAGAGAAGACCGGTGACATCCCAAAGGCTATGGAAGGAACATGCTTTGAAGATCACAAAAGAAAAGGACTAGAAACAGGGCGGTTTCTTCCCTGCATTGCAGACCAGACTGATTTATACTTAGTATTCCTTGGAAGCTTTCAAGGTTGACAGAAGTAATTTATTTTAATCAAATAAAATAAATCCTCTAGTTCAAAGTTCTTAAAACTTCCAATTCCCATTTATCTGGCAAAGATCTTCTGTCACTGTCCAAAGACAGAACAGGGGACTTAATTCGTGGGCACTGATGAAAAAAGATCCATGGAGCTACACAGTTGCTTAGTTACATTTGCCCTGCAGCTGTGATCTCAGGAGGGAAGAGGGGTTTTGATCAACTGAGAAAGCAGCCAGCAAAGGGCTATCTCTGCAGCAAACTGACTGCCAGGTTCATTCAGTGACTAGCAGGTCCTGGGACACATCTACACATTGAGCTGGAAATATCTAAAGGGTGAAGAGACTACATGGGGAAGTGGGTACCAATTTTCTGCTTGGTTTCCTGGACAATTGCATCAGCTCCTCTCACAACCAGGTTGGAAAGAGTGGTTTGAATCTTCCTTTTCGGCACTGCAGCTGCTGCACTGGAAAGAGGAAACAAAACCAGAACATCAGAGTTTTCCTGTGCTTAGAGCAAGGACAGGAGCCTGAATTCTAGCCCAGTGCTTCAACAAAACTCCAGCCACCCTGAAGTGTCATCTGTCTGTCTTTGAAAGGATGTGGACCTAAATCCAAATTCCAGCACAATGTTTAGGATCTCCCATTTCTCTCTGTGTTGAAAAATGTATTTCCTATGCATTGAGAGAAAACTAAACATAGATCATACCTAAGCTTTGCTCACAGTTAGTTGCAGAGATGGAAAGGAGGTTGGAATTGCTTCATTTCTGTAGAGTCACACCAGAGGTATCAGAGGGCAGTGATAAGGGAACAAAAGCTGTGTCCAAGCACAGGGCTTGATCCAGCTGTGACTCATCTTTCCACACTTGTCTTCAGGGGATTTGGATAAAGGACCTGGCCCCTCCATGCTAGTTATGAGATGCATACTGATCTTGGTCACTCCTGTCTCTTTATTAACACACAGTGACACTCTATTATTTCAGCCAAGGAAGAGAGGAGGAAACACAGAATACACTGTGTCTGGGATTAAATGCAGTGAGCCATTACAAAATACAGTTACACTGAAAAATACTCCTCTGGGAGACTCAAATGCCTGGGATCTCATGATAAAAATTAATTTCATCTACTGAAACCCAATGCTGCCTGGTTTCATCACAGTATTAATTTAGAGGTAGGAACACCCTTTACCACATCTTAGCAATGGCTTAAAATTTTCCTATCAAACAGCAGCTCTGTTACCCCATGGGGCCAGGAGGATTACTTGAAATGTGGGGTAGTTATTCCTATTTGGTGAATGCAGTTAAGGCAAAGTGTTCTCTAACGAAATAGACCCCCCCTAGAGATAGCTTCAGGCCCCCTTGGGAGGGAAATTCTGTTCAAAAGCAAGACAAATAAGTGGTTTATCTTACACTGAGGCTGCATATGCTGCTGAAGAGACTCCTCCGTAGTAAAACCCATCCTGACACAGCCTCTCCTTCAAAGTGGGATTTTTCCGACCGACTCTTTTGGGAATGCGGCCGCCAGAGAAGGTGGACTGCAGATCCGCCCGCTTCGAGCTGAGCTTCTTGTACTGGGTTTGTATGTGGTACTGACAGTATTCACAGTCATTCTGGAAAGAAATGGGAGAAGCCTGTTACAGAACACCAGCTACTACAATTTACTTCATTCCTCTCACCCACTAAAGCGTCCTTCTGTGGCTAAACCAAAGGAACTGTAGTACTCCAGCACCTGACCACCTAAGCCAACACATGCCCACACTCCAGCAATGATAAACAAAGCCACAGTTGCCTATACTAATCACTGGAAACAACCCTGTGCCTCAAGGAATTTTAAGGCTACTCCTTGGCTGAAGTGAACTCACACACCATCCAGGACCTCTTGCCCAGATTCTGTATTCTTGACTCTGAACTATACACAGTTTTATGTACTGTATGCATAGCCACCTTCTGGAGCGGGTCTGCAATCACAACCTTGTTTTGCTACAAGTACCTTCTGTATTTGTCTTTCTCACACTCCACACACTTTGAGCTCTTCCCCAGTTCTTCATTCCTTCATTTTTTCTCCTCCTTTTAAGTACTACCCTACTAATTATAACTCTTCTGACTTAGACAGGATCCCTTTCAGGTATCACAGCATCACCACAGCCATGAAGTGACATAATCCACAAGTCCTTTAAACTAGTACAAGTCAGTACTGTCCTAAGAGAAGGATCCCAATACCTCTTCCTCTCATCTCCAGTGCCCCACATTCAGGTATAATTATTCTAACAGCTTGCAGGCACACTGGACCAGGGAACTCATTGGGTTAAAACTATCCCGAAAAACAGCCATTCCCAAGAAAAATCTCCTACTGTTTTACCTTGGATGAGTTTTCTAGTGCAGTACACTGGAGCAAAGGAGAGTGAAAGGGCATGGCAGAGATAGGTCCTTTCACTGCAGCACCTGCTTTAGGGAACTCCCCTGCTGCTGCTCAGTGACAGCACAGAAGCAGCTTCTCTGGCTTTCATTTCTCATTTTCTCCACCCACTTTAGTTAGCCAAGATCCAGAAACAAGCCAAAAAGTCAGAGCATCAGTACAAAATGAGCAGCCAGATTTTCACCAACAGCTTAATGATGTCCTGACTACTGAGATACAGACCAGGTTCACAATCTGGGCACAAGGATCACCATTCTTCTTCCTGGCTTTGCAGGTGCCCATGTCCAGAGCTTCCCCCATGAGCAGGATCTTCTGGGGATGATCCACAGACAAACACACCTAGAAAGAAATCAGAACATGCCTTGAGGAGGACTGGATGGGCTTCTCTCTGGACGGGAAAAGGGGGAATGGCTTCAGACTGAAAGAGAGTGAGTTTAGATAGGATATTAGTAGAAATTTCCCTACTGTGATGGTGGTGAGGCACTGGCACAGATTATCCAGAGAAGTGGTGAATGTTCCATCCCTGGAAGTGTTCAAGGCCAGGTTGGATGGGGCTCTGATTAACCTGGTCTCATGGAAGGTTCCCTGCTGAGAGCAGGGGGGTTGGAACTAGATGATCTTTAAGGTCCTTTTCAACCCAGGCCATTCCATGATTCCAGATGTCACTGGTTTGGCTCTGGTCTAATTTGGTACCTCTGGTATTAACGATGCAGTTTTAAAATGCAGGCCTAGTTTAAGAAAGCCATGTGTCCTATTCAGACTGAGAAAAGGCTCAGTTAAAAAGAAAAAAAGGGAATTTCTCACAAAGAGATTAAAGACATTGGATTTCTATGCTCGGTGCCTCAGGAAACCAAGGACCAGCAAAGGCAGATCTAGTTGTGCTGTAAATGGTCCTGTAGAGCCACTTGGCTCTGATGCCATGATGGCACTCATATCAAGCAGTGGATGGGAGCAAGAGCTGTACTAGAGTTCTCTGTCCCTCTCCACATGTCTAGGTTCCATCAAAACTGACTCCTGCACAAGAAGAATGTCTGCTTCACACAACCAAAGATACCAGGGATTGTGTCTGTAGCCAAGAAACACTTTGAGAAGTCAGTTTTAATGTAGTTCTATATGTGAACATTTTAGCTAAGCAGAGCCATTTTTGATAAATGCAGCCCTTCCATGAAATCTGGTGTGCCTTTCTGCTCACCAACAGGACTTTCTACTGCTTATTCATGCTAATTTAAGCAATTATGTAGCTTAATAGACAATTAATGAGATCCTTAATTTTTCTATTTGGAGAATTTAAAATGCAAAACACTACATGATCAACTACTAGACTGAAATTCCCCTTGAAAGAAGTCAGTGGGAATGGTTTCCATTCCAGTGCAATTGATATGGTATTAAAAATATATTAACTTATTAGCAAAATCAAGCCACCTTAAATGTTTTGATACGTACAGAAAGGTAATTCGTCACGTTCTGCATTTATAAATAATCAATTAGACAAGTGAACTACTATGTAACAACTGACATGCACTTACATAATACATTATTTGTTTAATAAATCAAACATTGCTTCTTCTCAGTTCAGATTTTGGAATCACATCTCATGCTTTAATTAGAAGAAAGAAATGAGCTTCTCCACCTTTTTCAGCTTTGAGAGACCTCTAGGCTGAAATAGGTGCTGCACTGAAGTAGCTAAATAAACTGAAATGAAATGAACATACACTCCCCACATTTGTGGAAGAGCCAACTGCTACAGAGAGATTAAACACTGGAATAAACTCTGGGTTTAGATGCTTAATAGGACTTCTTGAAGTTCAGTCTTCCAGGAGCAAATACACACCATGCAACTCCCTGAATGCAATTCAAACTGTTGGGCAGACTGTTGCAATTTCAACCTTAACATGTGTTATAAAGCTAAATCTCAAACAGATATGAAAAGGTTCACCTATGGGTTTTCATCTACAGCTGATGGAGAAGTGAAAAATCCTCTCACCTCGTCTGAGCCTTCTTTAGGTTTCATAGGGTTGGCATTGAGCAGCCCAATGACTGTGCCTTGGTCTGTTTTCCAGTGCTCCTTGTGGACTTCACCGAAGAGGAAGAGCGAGACACACTGACTGAGATCCTGCAGGTCGTTCAGCCGCCAGATACTGAAGGTTCTGCCCTGGAACAGACGTCCCCTTTCCTTTCAGCCCTTGGTACAGGGACGCTGACTGCATCCCCTCTTGCTGTTGCTTTAAAAGAGTTATTCTGATTTCCCCCCTCCAAGGTTTTCCTGATTTAGAAAAGCACAATTTGTAACCCCAGTAAAGGTTAGAGAATCTCCAGCTATGCCATACTGCCAGTTCTGGGATTCTTCAAGGCCAAAACAGCACAATATTACTGCTACCATCAATCTTTCTGATATTAAAGCTGGACAGCACACTTGTTTGCTGAATAAAGAGCACTGAACAGACAAAACTGAGGCATATCCAGATCAGTTTCACCAATGACTTTCTATAGGACATGTACACCATGTAGGGAAATGATGAGAATAGAATGTGTTGGCACATTTAAAACAAGAGGCTGTTGAGAAAGCCTGAGAGCCACAGTCCCTTTTTCTACACTGAAATTTAACATATAGCAGAGGATGAACATAGTTAAAACAGATTTATGCTATGGTTACATGAGCCATTGCTACTGTCTGGGGCAGTTGCACCAGAAAAGTTAAGGACTTACCCTTAGGACTAAAAGCAGCATTACTCCATGAAACCAGACAAGTCAAGATCTTTAGTACAGCAGCTTTTCACTAACTACAGAGTTAGCTGATTAAGTTGAACACCTAATTGGTTTCTCAGGAAAGACTACCAAGCATTTCACTTGAATTGGACAAGTGATACAACGAAGTTACTTACATTATTTGCACTCTGAGGAGTGACCTTCTTCACTATGACTCCAAATGTTACCCAGTCTATTTCCTCCAGATTTTCTGCAGCAAGTTTGCTCTTCAGCTGGGACAGTCGGATGAGCTTCCTATTGGCCATCTTCCTGTCCATTTCAGCTGAAGACACCCGGGGTTTTCTACATCAAGCGAAAGCGTGTAAAAGAGAGTACATCCATTGGCATAAATGGACAATAGGAACCATCCAGTGTTCTCCTTAGGAGACTACATCTTGCTGCAAAATGCCTCTGTGCCTTACTTCACCCTGAGGTCACTTGAAACAAAACCCCTTGTTCAGAGCACTGTACAAATATCAGAAAGTTACTGATCAGGTTGTTTTTTGTCCAAATAGCTGCACTGAAACTCAGCCCAGAGCCTGCACTAACTGTTCATTTCAGGAATGACCAAGTATGGCTGACTGAGCTGGGAATCCAGCAGGGTTCTGGTGAGGAGAGACACCGTGAGGATTCAGAGTCCTCTTGTGGCCACACTGAGTATGGAGACGGCAAGTGGCTCCTGAGGCTTCTCCTTGTGGTGCAAAAACCTGCTCAACTGGAGCACAGTCGGGCTTTGCACATGCCCACTGTTCCACCACTGAGGATATCCCAGGGAAGGCAGAGCTAATGAAATTATAGCTTTTTTGTTAGAAAAGAGCAAAGGTGAAAACAGAAACATGGTACTACGCCAAAAGTCAACGTTGCCTAATTACTGATCAACCAGCCAGTGCTGTGGCTTTGTGTTACGTCCTCTAGTGACAACTGACTAATCTGACATGGTTAAACCACATACATTGCTTTTTCTCTCCTATTATTGGAAGGGTTGAGCCCAGACAGAGCTAGGCTGCTGACCTTAATCTCAGTCCTGAGAAGGTTTCCACAGACACTGGCTGAGTTGTTGCAGTGGAGCATGTAGGCACAGTCTTCTCTCTGACCACCTTACTGGGTGTGTTCCCTGTGGCAGACTGGAGAGGCTGGAACGCCAGACTGAGGACTTGCCGTGGAGGAGGACTCTTGTTCTCTTTAGCAGAAAAAAAAAAAAGGTATAGCACCCATTAGAAAGAATACAATAATTAACTGTAATAAGCTCTGAGCTGCTGTGATCAGAACACTACTGGTGCACTGAACACTGTTAAACTATCCTGGATAGATTCACACCATTGCTGGAAACTATAAGCTTTCGACAAAAGCCTGGAGTGCTCCAGTGAAAGGCAGACTTAGAATGGTACCTGCTGAGGATACTTTTGATTTCTGGAGTCCTCGCTTGGCTGGTGGCAAAGGATTGCCCAGCTGGGCCGAGAAACATGGTGATTCCTGCACCTTCTGAACTTTCCTTTCCTTTAAGGGTAGACAGGGAGATTTACCTGGCCAAAAAACCAAAAAAATTATGAGTTCTCAAAATCTGGACTCAGACTCTAAAAATTGCTCCAAACTCTGTAATTCTTGAATAACAAGTCCAAGTCAGGGTCCCACATGGAAACCCTTCAGCTAAGTTGACAACATCTGAAATGCAACATGGATGGAAAAGTCCAAATGACTCTTCCCTGTGACAACCTAAAACTTTGGATGTCACTGCAACCTCAAAGATGTGGAAAGCAGAAACATCCCCCTGCTTTGCAATTTTCCCATGTAGTTTCATTACTACAACCAACATGCTATAGCAACAAAACACAGCTGTATTTACCAGGTGTACCAACATCTGCCAAGAAAAAAGGACACTTCCAGAAGAGCCTGGAGCACTTACTCATGAAAGCTGTCCAATGCAGAATTAATCCGTGGTGCAGACACCAAAACTCATTTAGTCTCTAGCTGCAGGAAACAACCTGGGTGGTAGTACATCAGACCAACATTCCTCCTTGCTGCTCAGTGCCCCACTTCAGAATTATTTGGAGTCCTGCCTATAAATTGCACGTTGGTAAGCCAACAAATCATAAATCCATTTAATTAGTCTCATTACCAGGGGTTTTCTTCTCAGGGCCTGAACTGGATTGTTGCCCAATTGCAGTCTTCTGCAACTGCTCCTGTAACGTCTTCATCTGTTCTTGCAATTTTCTCAGCTCAGCTAGGAAAGAAAGAAGAAAAAGGATAATAATGAAGACAGCAGGAAGCCAGTGCAAAGAGGGATTTATGAGATCCCTGGAAGTTTGGCAGTTTTACTACATCATGGGAACTTAAAACACAAAGACTCAAGTCACAATACAAATTTACTTGATACTACACAGCTTACAGTGAAGGGAAACTTTTCCACATAGCCTGGAGCTGGCTCCTCTCATATAAATATTTTACTTGATCGTGGTATGTTCCTTGCCACGTTGCATAAAACTTTCCTACCGAGCATAAGACAATTTAATGGCTGATGGTTGCACTCCTTAGCATAACAAAATACTCCCAATATAATCAAATACATGGCCTGGACACAGGAAAGCTCAGTGGACACCTCTCCTTCCACACTGACTGGTATGGCACAATGTCCTACCAATAAGCCCTGAGGGGGAAGGGACTGCTGTGTGGTCAAAGATGTCAGGATGACAGCCCTGAAGACTGAAGCAACATTGCTCTTCATCAGACAAGGCACAGGTACACAGGCAATCTTCCCTATCCTGCTTACCAGAACTAGGTTAGTCTCCCTGGCTTACTTAAGTCCTCTGTCTTTATTTTGGGAGAACAGGTTTGGGGAGTTTGGCAACTGAGCACTGAAAATTGGACTGAGAAGCTGTCACAAGAACTTTCTGTATTCCCCCTCTGGGCATCATCCTAAGAAGCAGCAGGCACTGTCTTCTGCCCATTAGCCCTCTAGAGACAATATATCCAACAAAACAGATCACAGATGCTGATCAAACCTTGCAGTTCTTCGTTGGTTTTCTCCTTTGCCTGACTGGGAGCTGAACTGGGGGCAGCTTCCTCTGCCTCCTCCTCTTCCAGCAGGTCATCTACATCTCCAAACAGTGCAGCCAGGTTCTCCTTCTGCTCATCAATCATGCTGTCCTCAGCACTGACCTCCTCGGTGTAGGATGCATCATCTTCTGCATCAAACAGCTCATTGTATTCATCTGGCTCTCCCCCCTCATCCTCTGGGACATCTTCCTCCTCAGGAGAATTCCTCTCCTCAGTTGCTTCACTTTCTTCCAGGAGGGAGGCCAACATATCCAAGTCATCATCAGCTAAGGTAAAAATTAAACTCAGAGTTATTCCTGCCCAGTTAGAGGAAAGCTGCCCAAGAATAAAAGGATCCAAGACACTCTAACTACAAGCTAATGACAACCGAAACTAAATCAGAGCAGCAAGCTGAGAGCAGCATTTTTAAAAACCACTTCAGCTTTGGTTAAAGGAAGACAAAGTAGCTTCCTGCTGTCAGGTCAGGTGAAAATGTGGTTGCAGACACTCATCCTGTGATACAGCCTGGCCAGTCAGCAGAAAACTGATACTCAACACCAGCTTTTCCTCCTATGCAGCTACCTGTACAGTACTGTTAAAAAGAACTGGAACCTGTAAAGGTGTAGCCAACAGACACCCAGGTGGCTTTTGCCAATGGAAAGGGAAGAGGAAAGGCAGGCAATAAAGTATATTCTCAGATATAGCTTGCTCATGGAAGAACATAGAGAACAAAGAAATATGGACCAAATGGATGAATAATGGGAAAAAGACCATCAAGTACAGAGAGAGTAATGGGACAGACAGAACTGAAATTTTAAGCAAATCAAGAAACTGATTTAGCCTTTGCTGCTGAGGAAAGCACCAAACCAGGGAAGGCAGGGAGCAGCCTCATGAGAAAGTGACAAGGAAGGTTCAAAGGCCTCTGCAAATGAAGTCAGTGCAATGTAGTGCCTTTTGCTAAAACGTTTACCAAGTTTTCTGAACACTTCAACTTATTAAATAACATACTGATCAGAAAAGAAGTTTCCTACTGAAAGTAAAGGAGCACTTTCCCCCTTACCGTCCATGATTTCACCGGGATTTCTTCAAGAGTCCCCCAGGGAAAAGTATTCTCTGTTATGGGGAGAACAAAAGTGATACTGTTAAAGCATATAAGGTTTATCTAGAAATACATATTGTGTTCAAGATCCTTCTTTGAGGATTTTCAAACCACCAGCTTGGTTTTGTTTACAGCTGCAGATGAGGAGTCCACTAAATTTAAGACCCTCATGCACATGTTCTACATATAAAGTCTGACCTGTGCTGAACTCGCTGCAGCATAAGGGCACTACTTTTAGAAGAAAGCCCATAACAGACACAGAATTTAAGAAATGCCAACCACTTTCCCATAGTAATAACCATTTCCACCTCACCAGTCTTGCACCATAATGCAATTAGCATTTAACTAGTTATTAAAATTTTTAAGTTATTATTCTTAAAAGTGTTATATTCTACATTCCTCACAGCTCCTCCATTTCATGGATAAGTGTCCATAAAAAACCAAATCATCCCAGGAGGACATAAATGGCCGAGGGAGGTTTCGATGAGAAGAGATGGGAAATCCACTTTGTGAGGCTGGACGACTCACAGATTCTAACTATGCTTACGGGTCTTCCGCAGAGACTTTTGTTCTGCCCGCAAAACTCCGCTTTTGATAGATATTCATTTCCAGCAGGGAACAAAACTCCAGGACTCGCACGAACACGGCCAGCGACCCCCGCGGATCCCGCGCCTTTTCCCTCACGGTTCCTCTCTCCTCGCTCGGCCGCCCCCGCACCCAGGGGAACCCTGACCTCCTCGCGGGCTTCCCCACGGCTCCCCGACCCCTGACGGTAGGATCCATCCCCCCAGGATCGTTCCCTTTGCCCCCGGTCCCCTCACACATCCCCACTCACCGCCGCGCGCGCTCCTCGGCACCCGCCAAAATTCCAACCCGGTCACGCCCCCCCTCCCGCGCATGCGCGCCCGCGCCATCCCTAGTACTGGCAGAGGCGCCCGGCGCCATCTTGGTTGTGGGCGGGCGGAGGGGAGGGCGAGGGTACCCCAAGGTGGGGGTGAGCTGGGTGGTGTCATGTGTGTGACGTCACACGGAGAGTGACGTCAGCTTCATACAGAGTCCCTACACTGCCCTTGGCTCTGGGTGAGCCCGCTAAGCCGCAAAGGGCTGCCCGTGTCTGGGCAGAGTGGCCTCAGGGAAGGGTCACAGCAGTCGCCATCCTCACCTGGATAACCTAAATAACGTCAGCCCTTGTGCTAGAGCAGTAAATTCAGTCCCCGTTATTGTCACGTGCAGTGGGTAGGATTTTGTAGTCCGGTTCGCTATTTCTTTGGTATGACTACAATTCTGTAAAAATAGTATTTTGGAGTATGTACAAACTCATTGCTCTAGTCCCTCACTCCGTGCATTACTTAGAAAGAATTCAGGAAGAATATCTTCACTTCAGGAAGAATTTCTTCACTTTGGGATGAATTTCTTTACTGAAAGGGTGGTCAAACATTGGAGTGGGCTGCCCAGGGAAGTGGTGGAGTCACCATTCCTGGAAGCATTCAAGAAACAACTGGACGTGGCACTTATGGTTTAGTCAACAAGGTGGTGTTGAGTCAAGGATTGAACTCAATGATCTTGAAGGACTTTTCCAACCTTAATGTTACTATGAAATCCTCCCAAAATTGCCCCAAACCATACAGATTTGAGCTCTGATCCCAAGGCTTTTGCACTAAATCCACTCTGCAGGATGATGTCCAAAGAGAGCATGTTGGTGGTGTTCAAAGGCCAGCAGCACCCGTGTACTGGGTTAGGAAAGATGAATTAAGGACAGAAATTCTGTGGTAGGTGAAGGAATCAAGAAGTTTCAGCAGACAACAGGGAGAGATGCTTCACTGAGCAGTTGAGATGCTCTGCTGAATAGTTGTCATCTGGCATGTGTCACATTAGACTTTCTTGGTTTGGAGTTTTCTAACACCACATTCCTAGCCCAGGCATGCTGTGCTAACTCATTCTGAATGCATCTGACTGCGTGATGCTCATGCAGAGGTGTTCCAGGGGAGCCGGAGCAACGAGTAAATGACAGGAGCTGGGGAGGAGTTTGTGGGCCAAGGGGACTCCTCTGTGCTGCTGCTTATCCATGATGGAAACAGGGAAACACCTTATGCCCATCTTGGCATGGGTGTGAATCTGTGGGCAAACATCAGGACACTATGTTTCCCATTTTCTCTTCTTCTGGCTGCTAACTGCCACTGTGGCCCAGGCTAATCACAGAGTAACACCAAGTCCCCCCACTCTCCATCTCACTGGAGTAACGAAGTAATGAGCTTGCCAGCTCCTGTGACTTGGTTTGCAAATCCAGAGATACCTTGCAGCTCAGAAATCTCAATCCCACCTGACAGAAATATTCTGGCCCCTTCCTAGACTTGATTTTAAATCTGAAATGGAATTAAATGCTTCTGGCTCCTGTTCCACATCAAGTCAGGGTACTGATTGTGGGACACACTGCTACACTAAGAATGTCCTTTGTTAAAACAGTGGACAAGTAGCATTTCATGAACCCTCAGCAGGTTTGCTGATGACACCAAGCTGTGTGGTGCAGGTGATATGCTGGAGGGATGGGATGCCATCCAGAGGGACCTGGGCAGGCTTGAGAGGTGGGACCATGCAAACCTCATGGAGTTAAGGCCAAGTGCAGGGTCTTGCACCTGGGTAAGGGAAATCCCAAGCACAAGTACAGGCTGGGAGGAGAATGGATCGAGAGCATCCCTGAGGAGAAGGACTTGTGGGTATTGGTGGATGAGAAGCTCAACATAACCTGTCAATGTGCACTCACAGCCCAGAAAGCTCTACCATGTCCTGGGCTGCATCACAAGTGTGGCCAGCAGGTGATTCTGCTCCTCTACTCCACTCTTGGGAGACCTCACCTGGAGTGCTGTGTCTAACTCTGGGACCTCTAACATAGGAAGGACATGGACCTGCTGGAGTGAGCCCAGAGGAGGCCACGAAGGTAATCAGAGGAGGGAATACCTCTCCTATGGAGACAGGCTGTTCAGCCTGGAGAAGAGAAGGCTCTGGGGAGACCTTAGAGCATCTTCCAACACCAAAGGGGCTCCAAGAGAGCTGGAGAGGGACTTTTATAAGGGCATGGAGTGATAGGACAAAGGGAAATGGCTTTAAGCTGAAAGAGGGCAGGTTTAGATTAGTTGTTAGGGAGGAATTCTTTACTGTGTGAGTGGGGAGGCACTGGAACAATTTGCCCAGAGAAGCTTTGGGTGCCTTGTCCCTGGAAGAGTTCAAGGTCAGGTTGGAGAGGGCTTTGATCAACCTGGTTCAGTGGAAGGTGTCCCTGGTTCCTTCCAGCCAAAGCCTTTCTATGATTCTGTGACTCTATGTAGTATTCAGTCACCCTAAAACACAAGTAAATTTTATCTTTCATTCAAGGGAAAACAAAGGGGATGCATTCTTAAACCTGTGCTCGTTACCATCTGCTGGCTGTGCTCACTTGTCATGGCAGCTCATCTGCCCTCTGGACTGCATTTAGTGATGACAACAGGAAAATAATCCTCCTTGTTGTATGGACAGTTCTCAGTGTATTGTGATTTTATTCTTTGGAGTTCCTTGTCCCTCCTGATTTGTACTATTAGACCTACTATATTATCTTCCTATGAAGACCTACTTCAGCTAATGCCCATGTTTTCCTGTTAGTATTCCTGTGCTAAGGTCCCCTCTCTTTCTGAAACCTCTTAAAATTATTAATTTTGACTCAGTGAATGAATAAGTAATTCCTCCTTTGGCCTTTCATGTGGATTTTCTGTGTTTTCATTAAGGTGAATGCTCCCCAGATGAAATCAGCTCTATTATCATTCTATTAGTTTGTTTTTGGCCCAGTAGCATTTCCATCAGGTTTTGATCATTGCAGAATCCATAACTGTCACAAAGCTCCCGTAATAAAATTGGACTCAGGGTAAAAAAGCCCATAAATCCTACTGTCACAAGGAACCAATTAAAAGCCAATAAAATATTGCATCTGCTGGGAGTGCTTCTAATTGATGAAGAAGGTTGCAAGGAGGCTGATGAATATCTCTTCACAAAAGATTTTAGTCAGCTCTTGCTTTACCTGAAATTATGGATGAGGCTATAATTACAGCTATATGAGCTGCAACAGAAAATAAGAATCCAGAGTCTCCAAGAGATAATTAGAACAACAGTGACAACGAGTAAAATAAAAAACTCACTTTAATTACAGTGGCAAAAAAAGGATTGTTTCTCCGGGTATTGGTAGCTGAGAATTCACTGACAGCATGACATGAAAAATATGCTGAAGGAAGGTTTTCTTGGGCCCAAGAAACAGGTATTTTTGTTGTGTATATTTTAATAATATTCATCTGTTGAGTGCAAAACATAAATTTTACACTACTGAGGCCTTTGTTTTGAATTAATCAGCTCTAGAGTAGTTTCTATTTCAGGTTTGAAGCAAAATAATGACTAAAATATTAAGTCACCAAACTTTTTATTTCTGTGACTATTTTCTCCTCTGTGATTCAGATCTTCATCCACAGCACAATTTGAAGAAGCATTTATTTATGGAAGTGGGTTGACAGGAGAATTTGTCACAAAAAAAAATTCTGAGCACTGGAAGTTTACCCAGAGAGGTTGTGGAATCTCCTGCCCTGGAGATATTCAAAAGCCACCTGGACACAATCCTGAGCACCCTGCCCTAGGATGACCCTGCTTAAGCAGGAAGGTCTGACTAGATGACCTCCAGAGGTCCCTTTGTAGCACAGCAGTGGCAATTGCTGTCTCCATTTCTGGTGTATGTGGAAAACAGAAACACCAGATTTTAGGACTAAAACTATTGTTAAGAAGTAATAAAATGATATTAAAATGTTGAGCTTTGATGTTCAGGTTGTGTGCTCATCCTTCCGAACACCCAGCTCATGATTTTGGTACTCAGAAGGAAGTGGACTGTCACCTCTCAGTGACCCCAACAGACCTACCATAGAACAAGATGGCACAGATTTAACTACTGGATTGTATTGAGTCCAGGCATATTTGCTTCCCAAGATTCAGTTTTGAACAGTGAAGGAAAAAGATAAAGATTTTTGCAATCCTGTATCTGCAATCCTGTTTCAGCCTCCAAAGTATTCATAGGCATAGATAATTTTATAATTGTTATAGATTTATTTTGGGATATGAAAATCCATTATAATTTTTTAAATTAGGATACATCCATCTCAGTGCTTTCTACCACAATACTGTACAGGTTCAAATTATTTTATTATAATAAACAAAAGTCAAGACAACACCTTAAAAATTAAGAGTTCTATAAAACCAAGTGACTTGAGTACATCAGGAGCTACATGTATCAGACCTAAATGATCTGTTTTAAACCTTACCCACATCTGGCTAAAGCAAGAAGTTACATAAGCCATCAAAAATTTAACATCAGATTAGTATGGTCACAAGGGCAGCAATAAAACTGCCATCTGGAGAAAGAGCAGGGTTCACTTCAAATGCTCAATGAATACAGCACTACTCCATTTTGCTGAAAGCTTCTCAAATAGCTTTTTCATGTATTACTTTCCTGGTATATAATATATGAGAGAGAAACAGGCTCACTGTTCTTAGAGTTGATCAGCAAATATCCCATCGCTCTTCTGACTTCAGTGAGTCAACCTCGTTCTGCAGGGCAGCCATAGGGCAGAGCACTTCAGGGGAATGTTCCTGAAAGGTTTCATAGCAGCAGACACACTGTGAGTTCTGTAGCACTTCCATGTTGTTAACCTATGAAAATTCCTTCCCTAAAGCAGATTACAACAAGATTAGTGACTACAGGGCAGGGGAAGAGTTTTACTGTTTTCCCACTGAGTTAAGGAGAAAACCCCCGAAAACCTCCTTCATAGGATGTAGAATTGAGCATTATTTGAGCAAGAAGTAAAAAAAAACCCAAAGTATTTGGCAGGTGAAATTCCAGAAGACGAAGAAATGGAGGGCAGCACTCAATTAATGCAGTCCATGACGTGAATCTGCAGTGTGTCCAAATCAGGTAAAATTTCTTCACATTTGGGACATGAATATATTGAGATATTCCGCTGCTCTGGCCAGTCTTGACTACCAGTTCCTGCAAGCAGAGAAGATAAATGATTACCTGTTATATTATCTGATTTTGCTCTCTCCAGCAACCCAGTTTCAGAATGGCCACAGGGAGGCTGCCTGCAGCCAAGCAAAGCTGGTTTAACCTGAACACAGCAGGGCTCGGCCCGTGAACTGGAGAAGGTGCTCTCAGTACCTCTTTGGACAAGGCGAGGTGAGTGTTCCCGATCCGGCACTCTGGCTCCGTGGCGATTCTGCATCTCTGCCAAAGAGCTTCTGTGGAGAATAAATAAGGTAAGGCCTCTGAAAATAGACTCATGTCAGCTGGTCATGCATTTAGTTCACAACTGCTGCTCAGAAACAGGATCTAGAAATGTTGCTGCTTTGTGAGATCATGCCAGGGTCCGGCTGAAATCACGGTCACACAACTGATACCAGCAGGATGTGGACAGCCACACACCTAGGGATCTAGGGCACACTCCTCTGGAAAACTCTGAGGACCTCAGCTATTCAGGGCAAACTGCAAATTTGATTAAAGCAGAAAAGCAAGTTACATTAGAAAAAGGGCTCCGTATACAGGTAATGTTAAATGTAACTTGATTCAAGTATCACAGTACTTGAAACAGTGTATTCACTTACCACTGCCACCTCCAGAAGCGGCAGATATCCCTGGCACATAAGCAGCAAGATTAGCTGCAGATTCACTGCTAAAATTGAGGCCAGAACCCAAGAAACTCACATGAATCAGCAGCGAGAATTTAGCAAGTACGAATCATCCTAGAGTGAAAACTTGCTAAGGCACCCAACTAAGAACTAACACACCTTACAGAGATTCTACTAAAAAATTAAAATAAGAAGTCTGACAATTAATTCTTCTCCTCTTTTAAAATTCAAATTAAGCAAGAAATGTCTGCAAAGTTATTTGCCTTTCTACTGAGATGCTATCAAGACAATGTTGGTCAACTCCAGTACACAGAGTAACAGGACAGTCCAAAGGCAGCTCAGCCAAAGTCTGTTCTCACCGGCCAAGATCTTCAAGGTTTTGCTGCTCCTTTAGCAGGTATGCCAGCTGGACAGCCAACTGCTCCTTCTCCTCGTGGATCTTCTCTCTTGCTGCCCTCTCGGCATGGAAATCAGAACAATAAACCTCCATCTGATCAGAGAAATGAAATCATGCTGAGAATTTGTAACTTTGACTGAACCACATTCATATATGACAAAATCACAAAACTGTGTCATAGCCTGCATATACTCAAGACATAGCATATACTCAAGACACCCACACGCTGCAAAGCCAAGACCTGCACTACTCACAAGGTGAAGAAGACTCAAGAGTTTCTGGATTCTGCACAAGACACTTCAAGTGTCTTACCTGGGGACACTGCTATTGCCTCTGCTGTACAGAGGCAGAAACGAGGCACAGACAAGCAGTGAGGACGTGATTCAACCAATGACACTGACAAATCTGTAGCACAGACAGTGGAACCGGGCCAAGGTGCCAGTTCCGTGCCTTAAACGTGAAGCAACCCCTTTTCAGTCACTGTTAACACATGCTGGTTTGAGTGAAATCATCCTAAAACATATGCAGTGATTCTTAAGCCAGTGGTTTTAAATACGCATCCGTTCCCAAATTCTGTTTGTTGTGCCAGACTCTAGCATACAGTTCCTCTTACAGACACCTAGGATATGGTGATAAAGGCTCTGCAGGTACCTGCAAGGCAAGCCAAGTAAGGGAATTATGCTTTGGAGTTGAAGAAATGTATTCAGTATTCCAGAGTAAGCCATCAAATACCTCTTGGTTTCTGAATATTGGGTGGGGGAAGTAGCCAGTTTCTGATACCTGAGCACGGAGCACAGACATAGTTTCAAGGTCCTCCTCTTGCTTAGCAATTATCTGCTTCATTTCATCTATCTGGAGCTGCTTTGCAGCAAGAGCTTGTTCTGCCAAATCCACCTTTGCTTTCAGTTGTTCCACCACAGCTTTATCCACTCTGTCCAGCTGCAAAGAAGAACTCATTATGAGATGAACTCCGAATATGACCCTGCTCGAAGTGAAAGTTTGCTTCTTCCTTCTCCTGCCCTTGAAAAACTTCAAATTTTGGTCATCAAAGGAACTTGGACTAAGACATCAGTGGTGACTGATATTTTATCTTAAAGATTAGTTATGAGCTTTCAAATTGCATTGTATCAAGTTAAAATAGAACTCCCTAATGGACACTGCAAAGGCTGTTTTTTCCTAGTTTCCAAAATTTTACAGAAGAATCTGGTACTTCCATGGAGATTCAGTTATGAACAAGACCCCACTGTGGCAGGCATTCTATTGAAGAATACAAAAATGTTTAGAGATCTACCTTCCTACACTTATAGACAATGCTGCAGGAACAGTGATGTGCCTTTGTCCATCACTGCTCTCTAAGGACTGGACTATGTACTGCACTGCAGGTTAGACCTTACTTGGAAAACACCATGGAAGTTACTGATACGTGGATAAAGTTTTCTCTAACTGACAGCACAGGATCTGTGTTTATCACAGCAGTTCTGCTACGGTGCATGTTATTATGTAGAAGGGATGACAACTGGTTCCTGCCCAAATTTGATCCTGGATAGATTCTCCCATCCCTTCCCGCTCCTCTCTAATAAGTTATGATTTCTTCTTGTGATGAGTTTACCTCTTTGAGTTTCATTTCATCAATTTGTTTCATTGCCTCAGTGAGTTGAGGAAGAAGTTTGCTATATGAGTCCTGCAGGCTATTGTATCTTGCCCTGTTTATGACAAGAAAAGAGGTGAAAGTTTGAAAAACTTAATTCTTTGAAATCTATATAATGTTAGAACTTAGAAAAAAGCCACCCCAGCTCCTTGCAAATCAATCTGCATTTCTGATGACAAAAAAATCATGATCCATGTCTCAACATCTTTCTTCCAATGAACTGTGAGCTCCTCTATCTGTGGATTGAGTGTGAATGTACATCCTTACTGATCATCTGCCTTTTGTATTGAAGAATCCATCATCCAGTATTTTTAAATCAAGCTCACAAATTCTGTTCAAAATGTAACACCTCTCTTGGGAAGGCATCCAAGTCTTGGCTCAGAGTGCAGGAGAAGACAGACTAGACACAGACTCCAGAGATAAGGAGCAGCTTCTCCAGCAGCTGAAGACATGTCCTTCAGGAAGTTCAGCCTCTCTGAACAGCTTGGACTGACACTTTCACACTCCTTACACAGATGTACATGAAAGGGAGCGGGGAGCCAAGGCGAACAGTGAGTCTCTCTACTCTACTCTCAGCTTCACTGCACACTTCCCTCTCCTACTGCAAACATATTGTAGTAACCATAGACCTTTTCATTAATGTCATTTTCCCAGCACTGTCATCACCTGACTTGTCCCTGCCCTTCAAGATGTGTCCCCATTTACCCCTGCTAGTGAGTGGCACAGCTGTTGTCACTCCTCTGCTTCCTCTACTTGTATGTTATACCCTGTTCTATTCCACCTTCGACTTTGTGATTAAAGGAAGATGAAAGTCCAAGCTGACAGCTCAAGTATTCCTAAGTGAGGGGTTCAGTAGATGAAAGACTACAGTCTTCTAGTTCATAGGCTACAAACATAACATGGTTTCAAAGGCTGCAGAACACAACTGCAGTATTTCCAATTCAATTCTCCTTTGGCCAGGCTCCCTTGGACTTCCCTTCCTCACTGGCAACACCTTCCTGGAATACAAAACCAAGTCACACTCACTTTTCTTCATGCGTCTTGGCTTGTTCCAGCTTGACCTCTGACTGCATGCTCTCCACCTGAAGTTCCAGCTTCTTGACAGTGTATATTAGCTGCTGCTTCTCCTCCAATTCTGATGCAGCAACCAAGCTTTTTCTTTCCAGTGCTTGGCACCTGACAGAACAAGGAAAACAGGTTGATCTCTCCTGTTCTGGGTTTGGCACACTAGGCATATAGCAAAAAGAATCCTTGAGTGGTTCACTTTAAAGGCTTATTTTGATGAGGAACATGGAAAGACAAAGATCAATCTGTACACAACCAGCAGAAAACAAAGATATTGAAACCAACAGTTACTTTCTTACTACTATAAATCTCAAAAACCTGGAATTTGACAGAAAACTAAGCAACTAAAGTGAGAGTCTTGTAACCACTTTTATAACCTACACAACTGGTCTTCAAAAGTCAAGATAGTTCATGTGAAAAAGGTCATAACCAGGTCCCTTGGCTTCTTCCCCTAACGCTAGAACAGGGATTGATTATGTGAAGTGGTGAACAGGAAAAGATTTGCCTTTACATCATAAAAGGTTAAAACCCAAATCTTAAATTTCAAGGCACTGAGGTTCTATTTATGGAACTAGGTTGGCAGCTCAGATTTTCTGACAATTGCTGTATTTCTGTACTTTCATCTCCACTTACAAAGCAAGAGCAATCTTTTACAGTATTTCTATGACACAGACATTTAAGTTGATATTTGTAGAGCTGGTGAGCTTCCCAAGGTGGGTGTTTTCTTACAAATATGTACTGAGTGCCACGACAGAACTTTTGTTCTTCTGAACCTTACTTTTCTTGAAGCTTCTTCTGAATCAATTCTGCTTCTTTTAACTTCTCATGGGCTTCCTGAAGCTCCTTAAACAGAGCACAAACTTGCAAATTCAGGGCTTCTACTTCACTGCCAACCTTTTAGAGAAAAAATAAGGAAAATTTCATATGGACAATTCAAGATAGCAAAGCTGCAGGCTAAGAGATCTAAGCAGGAAGTTATCAATCTTTCTCTAGAGAAAACAGACTAAGTCAGTCTGCACCATTACACTCTATACTCAGTAATAAAGCCCCATCTACAAGGCTTCACAATTATTCCTAAATATGGCAGAACTCCATTTTGACTTAACCCTTTCATAAATTCCAGGTAACTCAAAGACAATAAGCAGCCTCCCAGGGAGGGCAGAGTGGTAACTGCAGTGGTGCTTTCAAATGACTCATCTCTGGAGACCTGGCTGAGTGTCCAGCTGCTGTCTGGCAGAGGATGAGCTCTAGCCTCTTCTTCCCCAGCCACTCTCCAAACAGAGACAAAACAGGTTTGAAAAACTTCTTCCTCTCTCCCAGGATGTCTTTGAATGCAGAGCCCTCAAAAATAGCCCCCACTGCACACCCCCCATAGTTCCAATAAAGATCTATGTTTTACAACAGGGGCAGGTAACATGAGCTGTGCTGAGCAGAGCCTCTGCAGAACCCCAGCAGCGCACATGGAATCAGCTGCCATCACAAGCACATGAGTGCTGACCTCAGTATCAGCACTTCCATGAGGAGCATTTGGCTCAGGCTGTAACTCAGGCAAAGCTGAGATAAGAACACTGGAAAGAACTAACCGAGACATCATTTGCTTCCCCTAGAAAGGGCATCTCTTGGCCTGACTGCAAACTGGTCTCATTTAACCAATCCAGCCCTGGCCTAAAATACTTGTCTTGGCCTTCAGAAGAGCACAGATCTCCAGCAGATCCCACAGCATATACCACCTCAGATAACCCAGTCTACCTCATATATAAGCACTCTTAGTTGCCTGTATTATGCAGTTGCACTGAACTAGAATGGATTCCATGGCTATGGGACATTGCACGCTCACCTCACACAGAGAGGTTACAGCTGCAGGCACATACATTTAGGTGTCTGACTCTGGAGCTGAATCTCAACTCCAACATCCTTTCAAACCCTTACTTTAGAACATGAGGACTGAGGTTTTGCCTGAAACTTTGTCTCAATCCAAGATAGTTATTCCCCCCCATTGCAATACATCCCACTAAAAACACAAAAAACCCTAAACCAGGTGCCATATGAGCTCCATATTTAAAGTCTGTTTTAAAGTACGCTGTCATAGGATTCTGATCCAAAAGCTGACCTAGGCAGCAGCCAGGAAATTCACCCAGTCTGGACAATTTCCGGAGCTAGAAGTGTCTGCATCTCTCTCTGTTTGCTGGGCATGGCCAGGGTAATGAGGTATACCTGCAGGTATTCTTGATCATCAATCTCACCCCCCTGGCTGGTGTAATTTGGAACCACCTCTAAGATACATATTGGAGAGTTCAAAGTTCACTTCCATTCCCTGTGCAGGATAATTGCCCCTTGCTCCCTGAATGCAAGTGGAAATCCAGGCCCTGAGGCTGCTGACCTCAACAAATCAGCTGCACACTGTTAAATCTTGGCTCAGGAGGACAGGTACTTACAGCCTCTGAAGTCTCTTCTTCCTGTTCAGTTTGTGTCCCACTGTCCAGGCAGTTGCTGGTTTCCTTCTCCAGCTTTGACAGTCTGGAAAACAGAAGGAATCAACAATGACGTATTTGGCCTATGTTTAAGGTGAGATTGCGACCATTCAAGGATTTCATCCATGTGATGTACTCTCTAACATCACAGCCATAGATGCGAGGCAGAATGAAAAGCATAGACATGCAGGAAAGTCTGCACAACCATGGGAGTTCCTGAAGAACACAGGACACTGAGCATGTACAGTTAATTAAAATGGATGTGTAAGTCTGCAGGTGCAGTGAAGGACATTGACATTCAGTCCAAAGGGATCAATCTTTGGTGCAGTCCAGAACTGCCAATCCTTTGGAAATGGGTCAGTCTTTTTGCTGAATCCAGTGATTAACATTGCCTCTCTTTTCCTGTGGTATTTTCAGAGGCTAAGGTTTCTAAGAATCACTTGGTTATGGCTCATTACCTCTTCTAGGAAGACCACGTAGAATCAATTACTGTGACACCAACCTTTCGTAACAGATCATGTCCAGGAAGTCTTACTCTCTCTATGAAGTGGGGATCTGGAACAGCTACTGCCTGGGCAATTTGCCACCCCTGAGCAGTTGTGCTGCTATAACTGAGCTGGGACAGACCCTCATACAGATCTCACTGTGAAAACTTCCTCTCTTAAACAAGTTTGGAATTAAACTTACTTTAGACATTTCTAAGGAGCTTTTGCAAGCTCACATACACCAAATGCAGCCTGCCGGTATCACGAAGAGGACTGTGATCCCTGTTTTAGATATAGTGATGATTCATACAAAACCAAATAACTATGGAGAAATGAGTGGAGAGAACATCCTCAACTAGTCATCATATAATTCTGACATAACCTGGGGAAAGTTCAAACTCAAGAGGCAATGAGTAAATTTTTCTTGAACTGTGACACTATAGAAAATAAAAATAAAACAGAAATTCTTTTGCTCATGTAAGTTTATCTTTTTGCTCATGTGGTTTATCTCTATAAGAACTACCACAACATTAAGTTATTACTGCTGAGTGCTCAGGAAATTCCCCACCAAGTCACATTGTTATTTTAAACCTGTCTCTGATCAGCCAGAGGCTTGGTAACTGCAGGAGCCCTGAAAGAAAACGGCTTTAAATGTTACAGTGCACCTACTTCATACCTCTCTCTGTGATCCTGCAGCTCCTTCTCAAGTTTTTCCCTCTTCTGAGTTTCATTTCTAAGGGAGCATAGCAGCTGGCTCACAGTTAGCTCCTCGGACTCCAAATTCTTAGATTCATCTGCAGATTTGCTCCTGCTTCAAACCAAACCAGATATAAATAACAACAGCCACAACTTTACCAGAGCATTCCCTTATCCCTGGGATCCAATTTGAGATGCCACCATTTCACAGAGTGATGAAAATCAGTGCTCTGAGGAAAGGGCTCATTCCCAGTTCCCAAGAACCAAGACCACCAGCCACAGCCCCTGTGTGTGCAAATAAAGGACTCAGACAGTCGCCTTCCAGCTGAGGGAACAATTTAGTATTTAGCAAGGAAAGCAAAAGCAGTCATGACAATACAAACCCCAACGCACTTATTCTGACCTATTTTGCAGCTCTTTCTGCAAAGTGCTGCTGTCTGTTCCTAGAAATAAAATTTTTTTCCTCAATAAAACATGGAATGTTTCTTATCTCTGTCTCACTCCCTTTCAGGAAAAGAGAGCATCTTCCACTAAAAATGGTCATCAGAAATCACCTTCTTTCTCAGAGATCTCTTCAATGTTTCACCTCCCTCACATCCTATAGCTCTTTTCAAAATAACATTATGCTACTGTAAAGTGAACCAGAACAAACACAAAACTCTGAAAAATAGCGTAGGTGATAAAACACTATTACCTCCATTTTTATGTCCATCTAGACAGAAAGTCAAAATCCCCCAACTACATGGTAAGATAGGCAGGATATATACTCTGTACATTTTAGCAGCTCAGCTGTAAAACAGTGTGTGGTTAACACTTTGCTTTTGTAGTTCACAACAGAAAGCAAAGCAGAGTCTTCTCTGTGCTCCTGAGAGCTGGAAATCTTTGGTGAGCAAAATTCAATACCCCAAAGAAAGTGTTCAGCCAGGATATTTTAAGTAAATAACTTTTATCAGGGGATTTTTAGTGCAGTTCTACTCTTACAGAAATAAACCCGTCCTGGGTGGATCGCATTTCTCTGAAGGTGTTAACAGCACCAATCTAAGGTTTCAGTGCTGGACAAAGACACGTGGTGACACTGGAAATATTTTAAGAGGTATGTATACTCCCTGTTCTTGTAGATGTGGGCCAGATACTCATCCAAAGGTAAGCAAGTCCCACAGGGAATGTGTTCTCATAGTAAATGTTCTCACAAGCCACCACTAACAACAAGCTTCATACTTGCAGCCTGGGCTGTGGTCAGCAGCTCTCTCAGTTTCATCCACAACTGTAATAACACCTTTTTTTTCCCTCCCCCTTCAACTTCTTAACTGCATGCTGAGGGCCGAATTTCTTTGTCATTACACTGTTCTTCCTTGCTGATGTAAGGAGTGACAACTTGCATATGGAGCACAGCTTTCTGGCCTGCTGTGTCCTTAGCATTTTCCATATCCTTCCCTTTCAAAAGCAAAGGCACAAACTAAGTACAAGAGTTCAGCCAAAACCAACTGGCTGCTAAACTGGGCAGTATCCAAAACGGAAAGTTTAACAGTATCAGATGTCTATGTCCACAAGGAGTAAAGGTTCAGCCAGGGGCAAGAAAGTCCCTTGTTTCCTGGAGCTGATACAAAGATCAAATTTTGAGAAGTAACCTAAACAGAATGCTGGTATCCTAAGCCTGGTAACCTGAAAAGCAAGGACTCTTACACTGTCAGCCTACCCCATTGTGATACACTTCATACCAAGCACACACAAACAGGACAGGCAGGTTCAGATCTGAAAGACCGCAATGCCTCTGACTCTTACCAACATCAGTATAATTGGGTAGAGCACAGATACTCTTAGATGGTCTCCAAAGGCTAGGAAGGAGTCCCTGCAGCCTCTATCTTTATCTTTTCTGTTTGGCCTTCCTAAAAAGCCCAAAGAGTTGGCAAGTCAGCATGTCCATAAATGCCTGGCCAACTGCCTCTTGTCAGCTAGTGAAAACTGGGAGGAAAAATGTCAGAGAATTGAGGGTCTTTCCAATATGGCAGGAAGACTACTGCAATGGAGGGATGCAAAATCACAGAAAAATAGAATATTCTAGTGCATTCCTCATAGAAAGAAGTTCCCTCACACTGACAACAAAACATATTGGAGAAGTCTGAATCACACGCATTACACAGGAACCTACGTACATGTAGACAGCAACATTCCCGGTCGTTTCACCACCATTCTCTTGATGTTCCTTTGCAGTTCTATTTATTTCTCCTTCCTAGGAAAGAAAAAAGCACTATTAGCTTGGTATTTGGACTAAGCAGGGCAGAGCTCTATTTGTTTGAGTTAAGGAAGGAAGAAAACCAGTGAAAACTACTATCATAGCAATATAGATAAATAAAAAACAAAACTCCTACAAGATCATCTTCATGTTTGGAAATTCTTCACTTCAAATACTTCACATGCCTTTCCCTGTATCTCTTCTGGACTGATTAGAGAAGAGACACAATAATGAGATTTGCCCTTCTCCTTTCATCAGCAACTTCCATGGCCACTCTCCCCTATAAAGATGACTGGGCACCACACAGCCAACATCACTGCAGGTGATTTAAATCTAAGTCTAAAAATCATTCTGTTGCCTCCTAAAAGAACCACTCTTCTTTCCCACTACAAACCTCACTCCTTGATCTTTGTAGCCCAAAGGAGAATCCTTCCAGAAAAAAAAAAAAAAAAGGAGAATGCATCCCTGAAGGTTTCCTCCTGCAATCTGAAGTTTTCTCTGACAACACCAAACAAATTTTAATTAAATTAATCTAACTTCTTCTTGCAGGTCTCCTTTCCAGAAAGGGGATGTGGGGGTTATAGGGATAGCAGAGGCTTGCATTTTCACATTTCACAGTTTGCCTGTGAAGATTTTTCAGAAACAATAGTAGAAAAAGTACATTTTTGTGCCTCTAGGGAATACTCTACAGTTTTACACTTAGTTTTGTTTGCCTGCATCCCTACGTGTCTGCCAGCAGAGAGACCCATTCTCAAAAGAAAATGCCCGTCTACGCACAGGTATTGCCCCTTAACAAAACATAGTACTGATGTTCCCAGAAATTCCAACTAAGACAAGACTTAACATTTTTAACTACTCTGAAGTAATTTGATGGACCGTGTTGTTTTTTCCAGAGAATATTTTTAGTGCAATAGAGGCTACCTATGAAATTAATTTACTTTGAGCATTAAAGTGGAAGGACAGAAAAAAATTCCAAGTCCTTTACCACTACATCTTGTAACACACAAGTGCTCCACGGCAGGCAATCTAAGAAACCAAGGAATCATGGAATCGTTTAGGCTGGTACCTGGCTGCAGGTTACTGTGTTCTTTTTATTCCCTTTACTTACAGTCATCCCAATCTCCACAAAGGAATCCTCTGCTGACATGTTCAGCTTGACTTGCAGTTCTGAAATGATGGCAACCAGATCTGCCTTCTCAGCCTGGAGCCGCTGCACCTGGGATTTCAGGTTCCTCACTTCCTTCTCGAGAGCCACGCAGCCCTCCTGGGATAAACAAACCCTGCATCAGCCAAACAAAAGGGAACACCAGCCAAGCAGCACAGAGTCTGAACACAACGGTGTCCTGTATCCCTTCTTCTCTGTTTAGGCTTGCCTGGAAAAGCCCATTGTACACGTTTTGGTTCTCCAAACAGCAAGAAGTCTAAATTGTGAAACCGAGTTAATCCAACACTGGGCATTGTGCTTCTGCAAAACATGGGACTGGTTCTCCAAATGCACAAATAATTAGGATGTAAATTTTTCCCTAAATCTATGCCTCTCACTACCACATAAGGTATCAGCCAACATACAGAATTATTGTCCAGAATCGCTGTATTTTTTCACCCATATCCTTATTACTCTTTTCCCAAATCTAACCAAGATTCTAGGGAGAAAAGACCCATGGGCAAGGAGCTTTACACACACCCACAAACACCATTTTCAGTCTTTGCCCACCACACAACTTCTCTGTACTCCATCTCTCCCTGATTTCCTGACCTTCACACAAAGTCCTGTATCCCTTCCACAAAGTCTCTCTTCCTCAGAGATTCTCCCCAAACTTAATTCCTCCTTCCAATAATGACTGTCTCCTTCACTTTCTTTCTATTCCCTTTCCCCGGGATCCTCAAAACCCTCTCTTAAGCCTCTACATAACCAGCAAGTCTCATTTTTTTTCTCACTTTTAAATGTCTCTTGCCATTATGAACCTTTCCCTGTGAGTTTTTTTTTCTTTCTCATTTTGTAATCTGAGCCTGCCAACTCCTGATAATGCCTTTATTACACCACATACCATCAGTGTAAATTCTGGACAATTCCTGGAGTTTGAATTACATTCTCACCTATGATTATGCCAAATCTTCAAACTCTCTATGCTGACAGTGTCTCTCACTCTACCTCCTGACTTGCTGCTGCCTATGATTTTGTGCTTATGCTGTAAGAGGATTCAATCAAGAGTCAGCTCCAGTGAAGGAGAGAGATGTTAGATTCTTCAAGCAGGTTGGAAAACTCTGGCAATAACGTGCTTTTAGCATTCCGAGAACAAGAAGTTCTACAACAGACAAAAGGAGAATAAATCCCCTACTTCCCCTTAAAACAATATTCCAGATTTATGAAATCCTGAGGTTACCTGACAATCCTGAAACACAACTTTCAGCCTGTAAAGGTTGTGCAAGTGATACTTACACAATCACACTATTTAAACTTGACTTTCTCCCCCCTTGTAACTTCTGAGCTTATTGGCCAATTTTGACTTACATGCTGAAACATTTCTTACAGAGCTCCATAAAAAAGGCAGGAGAGGAAAAGAGAAAGGTTAAGAAAAGGTTAAGAAAAAGCCTAACACACTCATCCTTCATCAAGCAACACAGAATCCACATGGCTTCTGTAGGTACCAGGATGCATCAGTTTGTCTCTATGTGGACCTTCTTGTTAAATAACTTTTCACATGACCATGTGGGACACAAAGCAGGTTTTGTTTAAATAGGCTTTGCCACAGACGCCTTCAGCACCACCTGCAAAATGTTTCCTGGCTGCAACACAACCACCTGCAACATTAGAAATGATGTGTTACAGAGCCAAAAGTTGGACAGAGGGAGGAAGCTCAGCCAGACTCAAATGGGGCAGCAGAAGCACAGATCTAATCTGAGCTCAGTAAAAGAGCTTCCGTAAAAGAAGACTGATATAATAAAAATAGATGGCATGTCATTCTTTTGTTTACTTGTCAACTTCTCCCTGGAAACACAAATACAAAAAGCAATTAAATGATCATGAGAGACAGATAATCTAACAAGCAAAGGGAGGGATAAAGTCAAGAGATATCCAAGAGTAAACAAAATAAAGAATGAAAAATTAGCAAGATATGCTGATTTTTTACTCCTTATGTCAAGAATGTTAATTATTATTGTTTATTAAATGTTAATGAAAATGTAAATTATCTCAGGTGTGGCATAATTTTCAGTTACTACACTCTGAGAGGCTTCACTTTATAAAATAAGTTACAGCTAAGGATAAAAATGGAGATGTTAACCAATCTCCAAGTTTCCCAGTGACATGAATCATAAAAGAGAGTGAACGCTCCAGACTTTCAATTCAAAAGCGTGTCAATCCAAACAATTCCTTATTTACCATTTCAGCTCCTTCTTCTTTTTCCTTCAAGCTCTGAAGTTGTTGCTGTAGTTGTTCATTTTCAATGCACTTGGCCTGCAAGCACTGCTTCGCCTCCTTAAACTTTGACTCATAAAATTCTCGTTCTTCCTTCTGCTTCTCTCTCCAGATGGAAAGTTCCTCGTATCGGTCCTTCATAGCTTGGTTATGCAACTTCATGGCTTCTAAATGGTAGCCAGAGACAAGACATTGATTCACATTAATACTCTGTCCATGAAACAGCAGATTTCCACTACACTGAGCTCAGCATTCCTCGGTATCAAATGGGTTGGCAATAATTGGGTATGAAATGTGAACCTCCTCCTCACATACCTTGAATACCAAACCAAAACTAAACGTCCCATAGTCCCTTAGCACTATAACAAATAGCATTAAATCCTCTCCTGAAATCACATGCCTACACTCTCTGACTTCTTGACTTTTCCCTAAGCCAAGAAGTACAAGTCAGAAGCATTGTTCACAAGAGGTACTTGGTATTTTGCTGCGCCTGTTATTGACATGATCAACCCAAATGAAGCTGATGAACTGAGCTTCTGAAGCTACTGAGACTTGGCAGGGAAAACAGGCAGCCTAGACTGGTAAATTACTGCATGGAAACAGATGCTATCAAATAAAATGTCTCAAATATGCCCAACAATGCTCCACTTGAACATTTGGTTAAGGCTTGATTGCAAGCATTGAAAAAATATACCAAACAACTTAGAGCCCAGTTATTTCCTCATATGTAACAAAGTCAGTGAGTAGCATCAGTCTTACTATTACAAAATGCTTACAAGATTTTTAGGCAGAGTCAATGAAATTATTTCAGACTTGCTTTGTTTAAAGTAAACAACTCAAAGCAGGTTGCTTAAAAATATTTTATACTTATGTTTTCCAGTAACTTCCATCATGTCCTGATGTCATATTATAAACAGCCCATAAATCCTTCAGGTTATGTAAATAATTGTAATCTGGAGAAGGATTCTGCAAGTTATGAGTTCCAGCTGCTGTAAATATGTCCCAGAACATTATCTTATATGATATAGAACCTTTTAGCAAAATACCAGATGTACTTCTAGAAAAAACTTTCCTCCTAGATACCCATGAGACAGAGCACTCGGACCAGGTCCTAAAATGATTCAGGAGGAATTTAAACAATAATGTAAAATCAGAACACAGGAGATATGTGACTTCATGCTCTGCTGTCATATAAACAGTGAGATACCTCTGTCTTTTACACAGAAAACTCACAGATCCCTTAGGTTTTATTCCAATCATTTAAAGGAAGAAATATCTGGCACCTAAATTCCTGGGATCCAGAGACAAATCTATCTCACCTGAAAGACTCAAATTATTAGGAATTTTCAGGGAAAGCTATTAGTTTCTCCCAGATATACTCTGCCACAGCCATCACTTCTTTTTGAAGTACAGAAGGTGCAGTACCCACCCCTCCTGATGCAGCTATGACAAAATGTTAGTCTGTAATGAAGCCAACAGTCTCACCATACAAACCAAAAAAGCTTTTAGAGGTTGACGAGCAAAAAGCATATCATAGGAAGAGATTTTTCACCTCACCTCGTAAAATACACAGCACTATACTGCTTATATATCAAATTCTAAAGCAAGTAATTGGGCTGTTCTCTCCCTACTCTTCCATACCGATTCAATTTGATGAGTCCTATCAAGCATCTTATTCATGAGTCCTATCAACTGGCCCTGCCACTTGCAGAGTCCTTTATACAGTGAATACTACCCAGGTATAAAATGTTATCCACCAAGGGCAAATGAGCACAGAATTCATAGTCACAACAAAAAAAAAAAAACAACCCTTCAGATGAGAGTTGGGGCTTTTGCATTTCAAAACCAGCTCACACGTGCCTTCACCTTTTAACTCGTTGTTCTCAGTGATTAGTTCTTTCATCTGCTGCACCATCTCCTCTGGGGTGTAGGTACTAAGGGCAGGGGCAGCCCCACTGTCCACTCCGTTTTCCATTTTACCCTTGGGATGCTCTCCATTTTCAGCAGGACGGCCTTTCAACTTGCTGGACATCTCTGAAGCAGCTACTACAAGGTTTGGAAAGAGAAAATTCTCAATCCCTTGCTCAATTATGAAATAATTATAATCATGCATTCACTGTACTATGACAAGCAAGGCTTTGTGTCTTGTCACAGCACACAGGCTCCTTCAATCCCTCTGACCCCGTACACCAGAGTATCCATGAGCCTCCATAAAACATTAATTTCCCACGGGGCTAAAACATAGGATTCCCAAGACTGCTCTAGGGCTAACCAACCCTCCCTCAGGAGCCCAATCCTCTGGGAATGAAACGAGACCTCCTGTCTCACCCTTTCCCTCCCCAGCCCTGACAGCGCCCGGGCCCCGCCGCCCGCCTGGCCCTGACAGCGCCCCGGCGCTGCTTTTCACGCCCACATCCCATTTCCGCTGATTTTTAACTTTCATTTTCGCTTCCTCGTCTCCTTTTCCCCTTCTCCGGCATAACCCCGGAGGGGTTCCCGGGAGGCTGGGGTGCCCGCCCCCGCCGCTGCCCGGGCACGGCCACCCCGTCCCGGCCTCCGGGAGCCGCAAGCCGCTGTTTCCTCCGCTTGCCCTTCCTCCCTCCCTCCCTCCCTTCCCGCAGGCCCACCCCCGATCCGCCGAGTCACCGGGCGAGCCCGGTCACAGCCACCGCCGTCCCCCCGCTGCGGGCTGGCCTCGGGGAACCCTCTGCCTGCTCACCCCTCACGACGCGCCCATGGCGGCGGCGGCCCGACTCGGCTCAGCTGACTGACTGCCCGCCCCGCCGACCCCGCCTCCGCCTCCTCCTTCTCCGACTCCGAGGGGATTTCCCAGCCCCGCGCCTCCCAGTTCTTGGGCACGAGGTGTTCACTTCCCTCACACATTCCCCCCGCGGCTACCCCCCTCACACATTCCTGAGAAGCCAGGAATTCGCCAGCCCAGCGGGAACCGGAGCAGCAGAGTCGTGTGGGGATCATTGCCCCCCAGGGGGTACAGCCCTGCGGGTCCACGGAAAGAGGAAGACTGGAGTAGATGAGGGATCAGACAGCGGCAGCAAGAGGGATGATGAATCGCAAAATCATCGTATCAGTTAGGTTGGGAAAGACCTCTGAGATCATCGAGTCCAACCTGTGACCCAACACCACCTTGTCAACCGGACCGGGGCACTGAGTGCCGCGTCCAGTCTTTCCTTAAACACCTCTAGGGACGGTGACTCCACTGCCTCCCTGGACAGCCCATTCCAATGTCTAATGACCCTTTCTGTGAAGAAATTCCTCCTAATGTCCAAACTAAACCTCCCCTGGTGAAACCTGAGGCCATTTTCTCTCATCCTGTTTTTGCTTGCCTGGGAGAAGAGCCTCATCCCCACCTGGCTGCAGCCTCCTTCCAGGGAGTTGTAGAGAGCTATAGGATCACCCCGACCCTCCTTTTTTCCAGGCTAAACACCCCCAGCTCCCTCAGCCATTCCTCATAGGACATGCGTTCCAGACCCTTTCCCAGCTCCATTGCTCTTCTCTGGACACACTCCAGCACCTCAATGTCTTTTGTAAATTGAGGGATCCAGAACTGGACACAGCACTTGAGGTGTGACCTCATCAGTGCCAAGTATGGAGGGAGGAATGGCTTCTCCAGGCATGAGACCTAAAAGGCGGGATCAAGAGGCAGATAGGAGGCAAATGAAAGAGGATGCTGTTGCCCAGGGCATTTTAGTGATCATTGCCACAGGATCAAATCAATTAGGGGGGTGTTTGCCATGCTGTGGGGATGTAGCCCGTTAATGCCTGTCCTATGATGTGGTACCTGGCCCTTGAAGGCCTTAAATGCCAGATTCCAGGAATGGGGTTAGCTGAGGCAGTTCATCCTGCACAGTCCTAGTGCTTTATGACTGTCCTTATCAGGAAGCAGGGCAGTTCTTAAGTAATAAAGCCAACTATGATGTTTTGGTTCCTTTGGTTCTGTTGTAGCTAAAATGTCAGTTTTTCATGAGAAAAATATCAATCTTTCATTAAATTACCTCATGGCTTGAAAATAAACTATTTTGATTTGACAATATTGCTTTGCTATGTCCTAGAAGTTGTGAACTGTCTCCTGTTTAATGAAACTGAGCCTTTTCATGAACTAGTCTTCTCAGCTGCCCTCTAAGCATCGCATCCGGGGACCCCCCAGCATGAGGGAGAGAGATGCACAGTGGATGGTATATGCTGGAGGGGAGCAGCCCTTTTACAGCTGAGGGACTTCAACATTCAAACTTCAAGAAGGGTGCAGCTTAAAAATCTCCCTAGAAATAAAACCAGCAAACAATTGCGAGCACCTAGGTGGTACAGAACAGGTCTGGTAGCAGATTTATGCATACTGAGCCTGTAATCCATATGCTTTCTCCTTACACTGCTAATGAACAGAATCTGTCTCCTTGTAGGTGTGCTGAGATCTTCTCTGCTAGAGGGAGTGTGATCTCGGAGTTACTGTCATCTCCCATCACTGCATCAGTGACTGGATGTTAGACAGGAGTGTCTGGGAGTTAGAGGGGTGATAAAGGCATCTTCTGTGAGAATGAGGAACTAGCAGCTTATCATGGCTTTTTATCTGAGCTCTGAGCTAAGTTCTTGCAAACAGAAAGACCTTACTGCATGTGCAGCAAAGAAAACTGAGTTTTACGTGTCAGAGGAGTTTAAAGAGCATTTGCTATTTTATTACACTTCTGATGACTGTTCCCACAGAAATCCCACGTCTGGTTTTAGTACCCAGAATTAATTTTTGGGAACAGATCTTCTTTAGACAGCAAATACCCAATGTATTTGGGTATCTTCTTTAGACAGCAAATACCCAATGTATTTGGGTATCTTCTTTAGACAGCAAATACATCTATGTATCTCACAATTCTTTGAGGAGGTCCAAATGCGAGAACGGTCTTTGCTTGTAGTTGTAAAACGGAGGTGGTGGGTTGCCTGGAATCAGAAGTGATGTATCTGATTCTAATTGGAATGAAACACTTTGCTTTTCAAAAGCCAAAGTAAAATTAGAATCCTTGTAGGTATGGAAAGGAGAGAGATAACCAAAGTGGCCTTGTGAAAAATAAAAAAAAAAAAAGAGACAATTCAATTTATTGACATAAAAGGAAAAACTGCTTTTGTCTAAGGAAGATAAAAGTGTTTGCACAAAACTCCTGTTGCACATTAGCATTGTGGGAATACAATGGATAAAACAATTGTTTGGGCCCACCTCTTTTATTCAGACACTTTTTTCATCACAGTTTCTCATGTGGTGATTGTTGTTCATTCTGCAGGTTGTGGGTAGCACATAGGAGTGAAATGTGTGGGCTCTGTGAAGGAAAGAGATCTGTTCTAACTGTCCTGTTGAGTGGTCTGAACTGCTGGGCTGAGATAGGAGTAGCTCACCTATCTTTGCTTTACTGAACAGATAGTAGATATTTGGAGGTAAGAGGTATAAAAGTGTCCAGCTTTCCCCAGACCACTCCATAACATTTGTTTGTGAAAATAGACATCGGTCAGCTCTGGGTCTGAGGGCTCGGATTCAGTCGAGTTACTTAAGAAATTCCCTTGCGGCAGCTGAGCCATGGAAAGAGTCTTTGTGTACATACACCCTTACTCCCTAGGAAATGTGGGATAATTCAGTTTAACTTAGTCTGAAATGATGGAGGATTGTGCTGAATTACCTTCGCATGGCCCTGGGCTAACAGCTTGGACACTGATTTTGCAGTTGTCCAGGAGCTGAATCCTGAGAATCAGCCAAAACTGGGGCAAAGGCTTGAACTTGGGAAAGCTTTAGTACAAAGAACTATGAATATCTCTGCGTATATACACACAGGGCTTATGTTTTATCCATCTCTGTATCTGTTGTGCATGTGGAACTCATGCTGCCTCTGACTCTCTTACACTGGCTTTACTCTTCCTGTCTTTCCAGTCTCAGCATTGCCCTCTTGCTCCTGACTGTTGCTGTGGTAGCTGCAGGAAACTCCCGATTTTGGCCAGGATCCCACAGATAATGTAAGACATAGCCCAAAGACTGCCTTCTCTCTCAGGACACAAGGAATATACACTACACCAGTCTGGATCGCTTCCTCTGACCAGCTCAGGTGCCTAAAGAGGCTTTGCTTTATTCTGCCACAGAGGTATCTGCAGGTCTGTGGAAGAACTACTAACCTTGATTAATACCTGGGCCTCTTGCCAGCGTAAAAGCTGCAGTGTTTGCTGTGACTTCAGATTTGCTGATTCAGCTTAATTTCCAAATGACAGGTAATTTGAAAACACCATAAAGATATGTTCTTTGCAGACTTTGAGCAGATTAAGTGGGGTAGAGGGGGTATTATGAAGCACATACAACTTCTGCAGTCAGCAGTACTGTGTGATGAATGTCACCATAACCTAGAGAGAAGTAAGATGATGAAATGCATTTGTTTCTTCCAATGATTAAATGCTACCATGGCCTGGACAGGGCTCAGGGGCAGGTGGTAAAATTTACATTAAGTGGCATCAGGCTTTAGATTATCACTTACAGTAAAACGGCTACAAAGAACATCAAAGTCAGATGTATGATCTGAATGTTTATCTGCCACTGACAGATGGTATGACATGTTAAATCAGGGATCATCATGGATTTTTGATTATCAGTCCAGTATTGAACCTCTTGCTATTGATACTGTTATTACCTTCCAAGGAAAAATCATAAAATTAGAAGTCCAGGAAGTCAAGAAATGACAAAAATAAAACAGAAGGGAAAAAGCACCCCAAGGTCCTGTTTTCAGTCTGATAACCCTGCTGTGGGCAGGATATATGAAGGAAAGGCAGTGCCAAAGAACGTTTCAAAATAACTGCTTTTGGCCCGTTCTGCACAGTTTAATCCACTGTGTCATGTACCGCTTTCTCTCCCACATACAGCCCAATGGATAACTTCTTTTACAACTGCAATTATATAACACCCCTGTGCAATGACACAGAAGAGTAAAGAAGCTATAGCACAGCTTTTAGATGATCTAACTCAGAGCCTGCTGGTATGTAGAGAAATTGTAATGTCACAGTTTTATTTTTCAGGTTTTTCCTTCCTCAAGTGAGTTGCAGTTTGCTTGTGCCAAGTTGCTGGAATTCCTCACCAGCGGCTCTGATTTCTTTCTTGAAACAAACCCATTCTGTCACCTGTCAAAAATAATATCTGTAATTTTTTTTCTAATAAATTTAGTGAGTTGAGTCAAACTGACAAAAATATCCCCACTTATCCTCTGTCTAGCAAGAGCAGAAAAGAACCATGAAAAGTACCCCACACTATTTCCTCTAGGTACATGGCCCTGCATTATGAGATCTGATGACAAAGTAATTTTCTGCCTGTCAGTAAGAAGCTTTAGAGTTTTTGCAGAGAAGAAGAGCAAAATGTTAGCCACAAGTCTGGTGCTTTTGTGATTTTGTCTCTGTCAGTGCAGAGGAGATGAACTGACTCATGTCTGTGGAATAACTGCCACTCACGGCACTACAGGATCCTTGTTTGGGCTGTCTTCTCCCTTTGTGACCACTCAGCAGGTACTGCTGTTGACTCAGGATGCAGTACATGTCACTCAACAGCTGCCATGCCAAAAATAAGATGGATAAATGTGCAGGAAAGCTAAAAGCCAAACTGACGACCGTCCTTATTTTCTCTTTCCAATAGGTGGCACCAATTCCCTTTCCAGATCATCATCGGTTAAACAGGTCAGGAGCTCCAGAATACCACAAGAGTTTAAAAACATAGGCATCTTTGCCCTTTTCTTTTGCTCTTTCTGAGTGTGAAATTTGCACCAAGAAGGCAG